GTCACGAGAATTAAAGTTAAAAAGCGGGAAATTATGAAAAAAATCCTGTTTGAGTGAGAGCCTCAATGTGAACTGTCATCAGGGATTCCAGTAGTGTACTGATACGAACTGTTGGTGAAAATGATAGCGAGGATCGAGACTTAGAAGTTAGGTAACTAGGCAAATGTAGTGTAGAGCGCCCTCCAGTCAGGTGGAGTGACGATATCTCTAAGGTGGTTGGGTGAGAAGAGCTGTAAATTGAGCTTAGTGTCTAATGTATAAAATCTCAGTTGGGTAATGGGCGGAAATGGTCGGATGATGGTGTTAGCAGACAGAAATAAAAAAAATCTTACAAATAGACTATCTATTTTTATTAATTACTAAGTACTTAAATCTTGATTCCATCAAATTGGCATTAAACATTTTACTTATTTTAAAACACCTATAAATGTCGAAGTTCAACAGATTGATAGGCACTTATTTATTCACGAATCAATTAACGAGCAGGTAATAACTTGCATCCGTTTCATCTATAAATACGTGGTTCGTCATAAAATAGAGATATTTTAAATAGCTGTGAATGCTATTTCAGATTAATTTAATTATCTACTGAGATGTTTTATATAAGCTTTGGTTGGTGCTTTGCGAATGTAATTTCCTAGAGATATCTAATGATTCTGAATCTATGATTATTAAATACTAGCTTCCGTTAGTGGCTTCGCCCGCGTGGTATCTTGATAAAAAGTAGGCTATGTCCTATTCCGGAGTGTATCCTTTGCCTAAGCCAAATTTCATACAGATCCGTCCAGCAGTTTTGTCATGATTGAGCAACAAACATCCAAACATCGTAACTTTTGCATTTAAAATAAAATGATTTTGATTTTAGTTAAAAAGCATGGAGACCGGACATGTCGGGCAGATGGTAAAAAGGTTTGTCAATCGTAACTTATGCAGCCGCGGTTGCATGGGCAAGTACAATGATGAACCACGGACCGGCTTGGGGTGAGAGAAAAAAATGGTAGAAGGAATCGTTTTTAGTCAATAAATCTGTCACTTCCTCTCACTCCATTCAAGGAAAAAGAAGACATTTGATGGCACATGAACCTCAAAAAAAGTTTTAATGTAGCATAGCAAGCGAAAAGTCCACATATATAACAAAAGTATAAATCTCGACTTACTTGCAATTTATGCGAATAGGAACACTTCTACCAATCCCCCGAATGATTGGAGAACGATAAAAATGAGAAACAAAAATGATTTTAGATAATTCTAATTTCAAATAAAAATTTATTATTTACAACTAAATAAGTAGATACAATTTTTATGTTGAAACCCTAAACGGGTGGGGGCTTTGGTATTTCATAAAGGTATCTTACAAGAGTTAGGAAAGTACAGGCTTGATAGCAAGACACTTAACTACAAAATAAGTGTATGACATAATTTGATATTATTTCCAATAACATTAGGTAACAGAGCTTCGATTGTTAAGTATTGTATAATAATAGAAAGGGCTCTCATATAAACCTTACTTACATATTATATTTTTTTTACAAAAGATTCTTAATAAATCCTTGCATGTTTCTTCAACATATGTATATTTAGGTCAAAATGTTTAGACGAACATAAATTATTTAAATTTATATTTATTTTTTACATTTTAACTGACGACCGTATTGCCCACAACACATACTACAGTTTGTAACTTTTACTATTATTACCTACCAAAAATACACCTCTAACAAAAAAACACCTCTAACAAAGGACGAACCTAAAGTCTAATTTGCCAACAAACCCCTTCCCATTTTGCTCAATTAAAGGCTACATTTATCGTCCAAACAGGCAATTAGCCGTTAAATTCGAAACCCACACCTGTCTGCGTCAACGCCGACCTAAACTACATAGCCATGCATCTCAGGCACAAGTAAATACCTACATACATGCGTACCTACGTACCTAGATGCAATCTAGAGCGAATTACAACATGAAATACTACGCCGGAATCCTATGTTTTATTACTTTAATTCTATTTACGAATATTGGTCTCGTTTTCGATAGTATTTGCTTTATTACGTAGGTTAAATGTTTGCGGTAACGTATTTAGTTGAAGTAGTTATTATTTTTAAGATTAGCTATTATGATGTAATGTTCTCATTTTAAATGATATTTATAAAGAATAAGCTAAGAAACGTACAATCATTTTACGATGTCTGAATGCAAACTTTGTGACTTGATCGCTGGGCAAGTTGTAATGCAAGTGAAGTCACAGACGAAGTCTGTCATTCAAATGTCTACACATACAGCTGTACATACAGCTATACTACACAGTATAATAAAGTGATTTAAGTTTAGTTTTACGTGTATAAGAAACCGGCAAGGTGTGCATATTTTATTCACATTTATCTTATCTTAAGATCAATTTCCGTTCACTAACTAAATAAATAATTCCTTTTTGAAACAAAACTAGGGAACTTATTCTGTTGTCAGCATCCGTCGCTAAAAAACCGTTCGTTAAGAATTTTAATGTTGTCAAAGACAGACTTCCTTTTAAGAAATTCTACGCAGGACAGAAATGACGTAAAACGAAGGAAGAACGAAGACTGATAGGTACATTTAGCATAAGAAGTTGTCCTAGACTGCATAGCTCCGATGAAGAGCACAAAGATGCTGCTGATCATACTAAAAATTATTACACACAATATATTTTCTTACAATTACTGTTTAAAGTTTTATTTCAATTAACATGCGTGACATTCTGAAAAGTTCGTGCCGTTATAAAATTGGCAATACTTAGTAGAATTTTAAACGTCATTTGCCTAATTAAACAATCGTCGGTATGGATGGATGGTAGGATATATTTTAAAACTGTTACATATAAACTGATCTAAAATAAAATATGGATCTGATATGAATGAAATTTGGCATAGAAAGACACTTAAGCTTCTCTTTACGTAAAGTAAGCCGGGCGAAGCTGCCGACAGAAGCAAAGTACCTACACGCTCAATTGTTTATTGGTGGCATCTACAATGATAAACAAATCAATGAAAGATCGACTGATATTACCGATATTACCATATTGAGAGCAGATTCACTAGTACTGGAAATAGGGTTGCCAGGTGGCAAAATAACTTTGGGTTTCGTTAACTCATCAAATCAAAACTATGAGTTGTCCAGTCTTTAAGATTTTGTCTACCAGGTGATTGATATGGCGACTTGGTAACCCTAGTTGAATAATATTTACTATCTACTATATAGTTTTGTGATATACTTTATAAGACAGGGTTCGCTATGTCTGATTAGCAGAAGAATTATCTAACAACAACATTTTTAAATATTCTTAATTTTTTTATCAATTGTGTTGAAATTACATGCACATGTACCTGCTTGAATATCACAATCTAGGTCTAAAGAAAATGTGTTTCAAAATCAAAGTGGGCTAGTCGATTTACAACTCGATAATTACTGTGGCACTCGATATCAATAACTTTAGGCCAGAATATATATCACTTCACATATGTGGCTGTAGGATATTATATAAGGTAGCTTAAATACTATATGTAGCAATTAGCTGAAATACACTTTCTAAGTCTTTTAAGTGTGTATATTAAATCAATGTGTTTGCCGTGGGATTGTATATATTGCGTAAAGAAATATTTAGACTGACCGGTGACAGTATATCGGTCAAGATGGAGAACAACTGCTGGACGGCTTTTTGCAATATCCTCTGTACTTACGTGTGAAAATGCCTTTTATATTGAAAAATGGAATGTGTGTATTTGATATGGCTATGCAAAATAAATATATTGAAAGCAGAGGGTCAACAATTCTTTGCAACCGACTATCACGTTTAGTATTGATGGAACATTCAAAATAGTTTACAAATTACATATGTTACTTTTATTTTTTCTTAGATACTAGTTGACGATTACAAAAATAAAACAGTAGCGCCATCTGATATTTAGGTTGACACGGAGAATTAAATAAACGTCAGAATACTTTTCTATGAGAACAAATTTGACTGCACGGTTGGAGCGGTGGCTGAGCAACCGGCTGCCGCGCAACGTGTCGCGGGTTCGATTACCGCGCGGAACAACTCTTTGTGTGATCCACGAGTTGTTGGTCTGGGTGTGAAGTGTATGTGAAATTGTATGTTTGTAAACGCACCCACGACACAGGAGAACATCCAAAGGTGGGGCAAGGTTTAAAAAAAATTATACAGTGTTACTTTTAGCCCACATCACTTCATATCTCGAGAACAGATGAACCAATTTCACTAATATTTTTTAGTTAGAATAGCTATAGTCTGGTAAAGATTCTTATGAAAAATAAGGGAATGTAAGTAAAACAGTATAAGTAAGTAAGGTAGAGTAGGTTAGAACGGGAGAAGATGCACACAAACTTGTTGTTAATAAATATAACACTGTACAAGAATCTCAAGTATTATTTACTGGATGCCTCATTTAGATAGTGATATTCGATGCAGTACTGTTTATTTGGCACACAAATGAATGCATCATGAGATTTATATCAGCTACAGAAATGTTACTCCAATTCTTCAAGTCGATAATAATAAATCAAGACGTAATGATGAAAAGGTACACAAGAAAATTTTGATATCAAAATGTTCTAAGAACGCTTGATTTATTTAAATACGTCCTGTATTCTTGACATTTTACATAACCTATAAATTGAACTGTATTTTTAATACAAACTTTTTTAGGTAGACGATATTATCACGTCAGCCTTATTGACACACAAAAAGCTTGGTTTTTGTCATTGAAACCATGAGTTTATTTTTAAAATTTAAAAATAGGTGATGAATTCAAACTATGTAGATATGCAGTTGCTAAGCTGTAGTGATGTTTCTGGATCTTCTGAACCGTAGAAACACATGGTATATTAGTAATTGTTGGCGTTAAAACAATCGAATGGCATAAAGTGTATCTACAAGTGTGTCCCCCTGTAGGTGCATCTAAGTCAGGTGCATAGAGTGGGGTCCTATATTTATAAGGCGAATGCGCCAGCGCAGGTTGCCGGGAGTGTGTTGTGTCGTTGTGCACCTCAGATACGAATATGCGGGTGAGTTGCGTAATTCAAGATAAAATTGTTAAAATATTTTTTATTGCCTTTTTAAAAATAAATTGTTAAAATTTCCTTTTTGGTTCGAATTTCAATCTCGACTTAGTTTTTAGTTTGTTTTTTTTTATAAAAGTGTTAAAATTTTTCTTTGATATTTATTAGCTAAAAATTTTGATTAAATACAGAGTATTTGTATTTAAATGAAAGCTTACAAATTACTAAGGTATAGGATAAGATGAAGTTACATTTCATTGTTAAAATCATAATATAGATCTAATATAATCTAATATAGATATGGTGGTATTGTACTACCTTATAGTATATTTATTTACAGTTTCAATATATGTTTTGCTACCTGAATTTATATTGTTAGAGCTTAAGTAAAGTGAAAAACCTTTAAAGATATTTAAAATTTTGTTTACTTATTATAGATTTCGTAACTGTTATTTGTTGTTCTTAATACAATAAATGATGCAATACTAACCATCTCTCCTTTGAGAGTAAACACGGAAATAACCGGGAGTTATAAATCCTGTCTGTAGGCAACAAACACAAAACAGGTTCCTACCTCGACATTAAACCTCTTTTGAAATCAATTCAAATATTGCTAGTTTTTACTTCATCCATAACTTTTTAGTGTCTTTGCTAAAGGCGGTTTACTTCCCGTAAGTTCCAAGATGAAAGTAAATTTAATAACATTATTCAATGAAAACTTCTCTATTCATATTAACTTTGGTCTTAGGACTTTTTCATATAGTTTTTTCTTTTGATATTATTGATATTATATTACCTATTTAGGTTCAAGAGACAATTTTTAAAACTTAAACTTATTATTTGTTTGTTTTTGACCGGCTGGTGTTCAATGAAACAATGTTTTTTTTTTGTAAATAGGTAGGGCCTTAGCACTTTTACATGTCAAAAGTATATTAGGTAAAAAACGAGATACGAGTGTGCGTTTAATAACCGCTCTTTTAAATGTTGTATTAAGCTTAAATAGGTCTGGTTCAGGCAAACCAGGGTCTAAATATGCAACAGAACCTTTTTAAGGTTTCATGAAAATAAAAAAACATAATCAACGTTTTTCATGTGTTTAGACGTTCTTGGTGCTAGCATGCGTGAGCGCAGCCGTGGCGGTGGCGGTGCCGGTTGAATATGGCGGGTACTTCGCGCATGCGCCGGTGGCCGTACATGCACCAGTAGTCCACGCTGCACCCGTGATACATGCGGCTCCTGTAGTACATGCTGCCCCGGTCGTCCATGCCGTGCATGCTGAGCCTGTTGTAAGTAGTCTGTGACAAATAGAAAAAAGATTTCCATTTTTAAAAACTATTCTATTATAAAAACATTTGAACATTAAAAAAGCAGAGCTTAAATTTTTCAAACAGATTTAAAACCACGATAACAGCTCATTTAAATAAAAAAATATTTTTTAAGGTTTTAAAATGTGTGCTATACTACACAGCATAGAACTCGAAACCTAGTTCAATATTATTACCTTTACAAATATTATTTATCGACGATTACTCTTATTACCCAACCAATTCCTGTTTAATTTTGCCAATTAAAATAACAAACCAAAAACGCCTTTATTTCTACTACCTAAAATGACATGCAAGATGACGGTATTTATTTAATCTTGCACGTTCAAAAATATGTGCTAGTACCTAATGTACTTTCCATTCATTGGTCGGTCGGTCACAATATTAATGTCTCTATGGACCCTAAGTACAGACATTTGTGCCATTTGGACAGTAAACCAGTTATCGGTAGATCTCGAGATTACTTAACTATTTCTACTTACACTTGAGCTTGTGCATAGCTGATTGCGGAAATTGATGTGTGTAAAGCCAATTCCAAATGTTTACATTCCCATTTTGCGACGTTTGGTAAGTTTTTGAACGATATTGTTATAATGTTCCTCACCAGTCTTTGCATTTTTGGGGACATACGAAATAGGTATTTGCAATGTGGGTTTGATGTAGGTTCATCGGTATTTATTTATGTTTTACCTTATAATGACTACGTTGTATGGAGTAAACCCAAATTGAAGGCCCAAATTAAAGCAAGAGAAGGAACGGGGTGATTTTAGTCAGTAAGAGGCTGACACTCTCTCTCCATTCCCTTCCACCCAAGCCGGGAGAAGTTGCTTGCCCCCTGAAATAAAAAGAACTCAACAATATCAATTGCGCTATTTTGTATCGACAAAAAGACGAAAAATGATTGTTTGGTACAAAATTCGCAGGCTTATCCAAAGTACGCGTTTAACTACGGAGTGAAGGACCCACATACCGGTGACATCAAATCGCAGCAAGAAGAGCGTGATGGTGATGTTGTTAAAGGTTAGTGTGATAGCACCTTGATTTGTTTTAATAGGATTTTAACAAAAGAATCCTTTCGATACGACTTACTAAAAGACCTTTAAAAATACCTAAAACAAGAATACTTAGTCATTTTTCTATTTTAAAAATTCTATTATTTATTTCACAGGAAGCTACTCCTTAGTGGAGCCTGATGGTTCTACCAGGACTGTGGCGTACTCCGCAGACGACCACACAGGTTTCAATGCTGTCGTACACAAATCTGGACATGCAGTTCATCCGGTAAGACTCAATACATCTTTTGATAAAGTTACAAGACTACTAACTACTACGATTTGCCATTAAGAGCAATAATTATTTTCTAACCCTATCAAAATAGACGCCTATAGACATAAAATTATATGACTCCTTAACAGTATACAACCAATAAGCCATCAGTAATATTTAATCCAATATGTGTCGTCGTCCAATATGTTTTCGATCGAAAATCGATCCGTTATTATGTAAACAATACTAACTTAACGCCATCTTTTATTTTATCCTAAAACTTTTTATACAAAGACATAGTTCCATAAAAATCTTGAACCTGCTATTAGCGTTTACCGTGTAACCGTTACCTTTATAGAACGTTTATTTATTTGATAATTGCGTGCTTTAAATTACTACTTTTAAAAGTTCTATAAGACCTGCCGTGACTATTTTAGTTCAGCTTTAGTTTTGATGACACACAACTTGGTAATTGACAAATTATTCGCATTATTTTTTATTACAATGACGATTTTTACCGGCTGATAACGTGTCACGGGCCACCATTACACAAACCAGATTTCTCTGCGATTGCGAGCCGGCGTCGTCTCTTGCGCAAACATTAATGGCGCGTGCGCTTATAAGGAAACGCTACAACTTGGTCAAACTACTCCGAATTTCCCAGATAACGGCCTATGAACGTTCCGAGAAAAATGCAAGATAAACATTTAAAAGTTTTGCCCATTGATAAGACTAAGTCGTTGATTTTAAATTCCTTATCCCTAATTATGGTTATTTTATACTTAACGTGTTTTTATCTGCTAAGTCGTCGTTGAGTCGTATTCTTTACATGGTCGGAACTCTAGTAGACAGCGTTTTTGCATTATAGCACAGTTTTAAGAAATGACAAGCTCCAAATATGAAAACATACGGTAAAATAACAGATTTGTACAAGTTTTGTGAATCAACTTTTTATTCATGTCTCAGGATGACCTACCCTATACGTTTTTAGGAGAAAATGAGTGGGCAGAAAAGTACCTATTTGGTTAATAAAACATTTTTTTGCTTTAGCAACACATTAATAGTGAGAAAGTATAAAAACTTACTTTTTTGAAAATGTTTTTTTTTTCGGAAACTATGGAATGATTATTCATAAAATGTATGTAGGTTCTTAATGTTATGTTATTATTTTTACAACTTTGTGTGATAGAAAATAAGGTCCAAAGTAATCAAATAGGTGTGAAGAATTGATTATTTATCCACAAGCGAGATGCAATGGTTGAGTAGAGCCGTAACCTTGAACCGGCGTAGCATGACTCACGCGCAGTGAAATTATTTGGTCCACTAAAGCTTTGGTATCTACTCATAGTTTCTCAATAGGGTCCAAATCTTTTTTTATTGAACCCAATGTTTGTGAAATCTTATGAAACTTGACCTTCATTAACGCTAGAACTTTCTTCGTGTTCTTTTTTTAAATATTATATTTGTTTTGAAACTGCTTGGAAAGACTGCGGATCTTGTCTTGTCTGAAATATGACGGATGGATTGAATGTTACAAAATTGTCACATACACGATACTTTGGGAAGACTTAAAATAATAGAATATAATCTGAGCAGTAATTTGACTCTTGATGCGTTAATCATTTATGACCAAATTATGTTCGAATCTAGATCGCAATTTCCTGATCGTATACTTGTATTGCATTCTCTCCAGTATCCGATGTGATTGATTTTTACACATGTGCCTATATCTAAATCTGTATTTAATTTCTTTTACTTGTTCTATGTTTTTTACAAGTTTTAATGTCATTTTGTCTCAGAACGAGATCGTTGATTCAATACCTACATAGTTTTAATTATCTTCTGATACATGGGTTGCCGGTCATCATCATCATGAGCCTGATGTTGTCCACTACTGGACATAGGCCTTCCCAATTGCACGCCACTGAGCTCAATGTTCAGCTCTTCTTATCCAACCACTGTCAGTTACTCTGTGGATGTCGTCAGCCCACCTAGCTGGAGGGTGCCCTAGATACTACGTTTGCCTAGGCGTAGTCTCCACTCTAGCGTTTACCGTACGTGGGGTTGTTGGTGCAAACCCAACAATGTACTGCGACCCCAGCTCGCAGCAGAAAAAGGACCAGGGTGGTTTTTAGTGTGAAAGAGTCTGGCACTCCCTCTCGCTCTTCCCAGGGTAGAAGAAGTTATTTAATGTATTGATATTCCCATAAAAAATACTTTCTAATTGTTTGCCTATTCCCATAAATTCGACGATCGTAAAATGTTTTCTTTAAATTCCTTGTTTTATTTTCAGCAACAAGTAGCAGTAGCGCATGCGGCACCAGTACATTACGCGGCTGCTCCCATCGCAGTGGCATCCTACGGTCACGGCTACGGTCTACACTAACCACTTAAAACTAAAGTCCTGACAAAATATCTTGACAAGCTAAAGTTGACTTATTTAACTTAAAGCCCCCTTGATGGAGCAGTTGGTATCCAAAGAGGTCCTCCATCAGTATGAAGTGACTATTACATGCTTTTGAGAGAAAGGGAGACACATGTTCAGCAAGGTCAAGCTATTTTGTTCGTATTATACTTAATGTTTACGCCACAAATACTCTACTAGATGTTACGTTTATACCTTATATTAATGTTAAGGGTGGGTGTTATGTTATGCGCGCGCAGGGTTACGTAGAGGTGTCATGGTGGTTTTGAATTTCGAACAAAAACATTGTTGCTATCAGTTTGATTTAAAAACTTGCCATATCAATAAAATGATGAGGTTTTATTATTTTTGGAATTAAATTGTGTGGTATAGGAATGGTATTGAAAAATATATTTGTATGAAAGGTTATGAATATTAAGTTTTGTGGATATTTATTCACATAAGTGAATAACTTGCCATTGTATATGAAGCATCTGAAGTACAACTTATCGATATTTATATGTATATTTAAATCGCTTTAAATGCTTTATAGTGTTTAGAGATCACTTATAATTTATTTATATGATAAATAAATAAATGAGTCTTATGTACCATTCATATTATTTGTAAGAAGTACCTAGACCTAGACATCTAGATCGTGTTTCAGAAATTATTCACTTTCATTTGCCATGATCTCAATATTTTGACATTGTAGGTACCTATTCTTACTAAAAATCTGTCAATTGTATTCTCATGTCATATAAATGTGTACTTTTTGTAATTATTAAATAGAGTTCATTTTATAAAAAAATGTTATTATTTAATTCGATTCATATACTATTAATATATATCTCACTTGGCTAGGCGTTTCACTTTTATTAACTTTGGTCAAGCAAAGTACTATTGGAATCTTCAAACAATATCAAGAAACGTTTTTTTATATGATACGGCGGTAAACGAGCAAACGTATTACCTACGTGATGGTAAGCAATTTGCGCCGCCAGTGGACATACGCAACACCAGAGAAGTTGCAAGTCTTTCTGGGGATTTAAGGATTGGGCAGGGATGAGGGGAGGGGAAGGATTGGGCCTTCGGTACACGGCTTCGTTCTCTAAGGTCGTGGCATTAGTCTGGTCGAGATGGTCCAATCGTCCCGAAGGATGGCTCTCCCATACATACACACTACACTTTTAAGTGTAGAAGTATACCTAAAATAATAATCTAATTAGCTTTATCGAACTTACGTAACATAGTAATATGAATTATTTAATTTATCCTTTTATTACCCATAAGCCTTAAAATTATGACAAACATTAATAATTATTTAAAAATTCGAGCTATTAATAAAAATTGTAGACTGCTGAAAGTGTTGCATTGATTTTCTACAGCTTTTTATTTTTAAGAATCTGACTTGATTCCAAACTGTTCCGACTTGGATGATCATACAAACAACATATTGTAGGCAGTAATTAATACAACAGACCTTAAAATAATGACGCTTACACATAAATGACCCTTCACAATACAACCACAGAAGAACAAATTAATCAAATTTTCATAAGTACGTCATATGAACACGCGTCAGCAGTTCAACCTATTTCTTTGAGTCACATGATTTTACTAGAATTTCAATTTTATCATGATTGACATTAAGTTGAAAATACAATGAAAGAAATTGACAGATTGGTGTAGGTGGAACTGCTGGCGTTTTACAATTAGTGGACTGAGTCATTATTAAAGACTTTGAAGTCGTACATACATATTTCATAGTGGATTAATTAATACACAGAGTGAACAAATTGGCCATTAGTAGCAGAAGTTAATGGGTAGGCTTGTAAGTAGGAAGAATGTTGTGATATGTGTGTATATGGACAAGCTTCCAATTTGGCTGATCTAAATTCTTTTTTTATAATTAAGAACGGTAAGCGAACAGATTTGTCACATGACGAAAAGCTCATAATGCCAGCCTATTAAAAAAACCGCATGTAAATCGGTGGCGTGGTTTTAAAGATTTGAGCATACAAGGCTATAGGACAGAGAAAGCGTTTTTTTTTAATTTTGCGTAGTGACTACAGACTATTTAATTTAGCATTTGGTGAAGAGGACTTCTTGAGATTTTAGGATTATACTTTTATGCAACCACTCAACTATAAAAGTAACTTTGACTGCGAGGTTGGTGCGGTGGCTGGGTAACTGGTTGCCGGGTCTGGGTGTCATGTGCAGGTGAAATTGTATGTTTGTAATCGCACCCACGACACAGGAGAGAATCCTAATGTGGGGCAACGCTAAAAAATAAATTAAAAATAAAAATAAACTAGATGACGAATGCGATGACGATGACGAAATAAAAAAAAACTTTGCTAAAGTCCATTGTGTTTTTTTTATGTGATAGGTCGGCTAACGAGCATAATTATGGTCTATCTGATGGTAAGCAATCAACGCCGCCCTTGGACACCTGCAACAACAGAGGACTTACAAGTGCGTTATATTTGGAGATTTAGGGATTGGGGATTGATTGGGCCTCCGGTAACCTCACTCACACGCCGAAAAACAACTCTGTGGTTGTTTCACGTCGGTTTTTTGTAAGGCCATTCGTTCAGAAGCATGGCTCTCCCATCTTGACATGTAGGTAATGACTTTATTTGGACACTTTAATTTAGTGAGCAAGGTATGACTTAATTTATTTGACGATTTGCTAAAACAATCGTTTTTGGTAAAAAAGCTATTATATTGACAGTTATGTTCTTATTTTTATTTATACTATTCCTTATTCAGAGTTCCTAATTAATCACTAGCCTATAAAATTTTAAAGATTTGGTGTTTAATGTGTTAATTCAGTAAGCAGTGTTAGATGCATTGTGTAGTTATGTAGTTGTTTTTAATACTGATACTAGACAAAGAAGGTACCCTATTTTTAAAGCCTATATTTTCCACTTAGAGGAAAGATACCATTTTAGACCAAGTTATAAATAGAAGGATGGTCCTTAAATGATCATTTTGCTATTGTTTTGCGAAAAACATAATTTAAGATGAGCACGTTGTCTTATTACAAACATCGTTTTAGGGTAGGTACTTGATACATTTAAAGTTGTACACAATATTTATCTAATCCCTAAATTTCTTATGAGACACCCGAGGTTATTGTTTTGCAGCCGTAGCACTCTACAAACCTGTCGACATTTTAGTATAATAATATCTAAATACAATTTTAACACACCATTTAGAAATCTTGCATTTTCCTTATGTTACAGTACATTCTTAAGGTTATTTTTGGCAACCAAGAGAGTATTCTTGCCGCAACATACAAAAAAGGCAAGATATTCAATTAATTTGTATATAGATAAGGATCCAGAGAACACGGTATAGCAGACATGTGGGAAGTCGTACCGGCAGGCGGCCATACGCGCGACTGCTGGTGTCGCGCACATCGTGGGTAGGATCCGGCGGCGGGGCCTAGAGGTGGCATTGCACAAATCGGAGGCCCTGTGTTTTCATGGGCCGAGGATGAAGCCGCCTCAGGGGTCCAGCATCATAGTAGGAGGGGTTTCCATCGCTGTTGAGTCCACGATGAAGTACCTCGGACTCGTTCTCGACAGTCGGTGGAATTTCGGGCCGCACTTTACACGGCTCGCCCCCCGGTTGATGGGCGCCGCTGCTGCTTTGTCGCTCTTGCTGCCCAACCAGAGGGGCCCATCTACTCCTCCCGGAGGCTCTCCGTTATACGCCGCACCAGTGTGCCTGGGACCTCGACGCAAAGCTCCTCGCGTCACTCTATTGGTGGCGTGCGGAGGCAGTCGACCGGGGCGAGCGCCTGGTGCCTCGACAGGTTGAGGCACGCAGGGCAGAACTCCGCCAGGCCTTAGTGGTGGAGTGGCAGACGCGTTTAGCGCAACCCACGGCGGGGCACGCCGCTATAGCGGCGGTAAGGCCAATTCTACAGGAGTGGCTCAATAGGAGCCACGGCGCCCTCAGCTTCCTGCTGACGCAGGTGCTTACCGGACACGGGTGTTTCGGGAAGTACCTGTGTCGCATAGGCCGGGAGCCGACGTCTCAGTGCTACCATTGTGGTAATTGCCACGACGATACGGCGCTGCATACGTTGGCGGAATGTCCAGCTTGGGCCGAGCAGCGCCGTGACCTGGTCGCGGCCGTAGGTGCTGCGGGAAATCTCTCGCTTCCGGCTGTAGTGTCTACTATGGTCGGGAGCGAGTCAGGGTGGAGTGCCGTCGCTATCTTTTGCGAGGCCGTGATGCTCGCAAAGGAGGCGGCGGAAAGGGAGAGAGAGGCTGCCTCCTCTCTTCCCTCCCGCAGCAGACGCACTAGACGTCGTAGAGTGGCCGACCTGCGGCCACCGTAGGGCGGGGCCTGCGGACGACAGACTCGGGGCGTCTAGTCGTCCGACCAGCAGCAGGCCTCGAGGCGGCGGTGCCGTGTTCCGCGCGCGCCTCATAGTGGAGTCCTGCGGTCGGGGTGACGGCCGCAGTGGGTGACGGGGCCCGCCTTACCATCTGGCGGGCCAATACCCGTCGGAGGGTTGCGACGAATGCTTCGGTGATACCCGCCCCTCCGACACATGGGTTATTGGAGGAACACCGGGTTGGTTTTTAGTCAGTAAGAGTCTGACAGTACCCTTTGCCCTTACCCGAGGGCGGTGGGTCTCCATGAGGATTTTCCAACCCGACACAAAAAAAAACGGTATAGCAGACATCGGCAATTTGCCCAGCTTGGCGTGACCACTGCTGTGTCTTCGGTCTTATTCTTAGTCGAGGCCATGGTGTGGAGCGTGAAGATCTGGGAACCCATCTCCCCTTCTGAGAATCAGTCATGCGCGCAAAGGCATGCAGCAGTTGGGATCTCCGTCACATCCCAACTGCTGCTGCAGGATTTATTCTGATCGCAAAATTCAGCGTACGGATAGTCGCGTTCCGCACGCGAATCAAGGAGCAGGATAAGGAACGGAGCAGTTGAACAGAAGTTTCAGAAGCAGAGTCAATAAAATACTTAATAGTGTGATTCTGAACACTTCCTCTCATCTCATCCATGTCGGAAGAAGACATTTGATGATTTTACTCCATTAAAATGAGCGGATAGGTGAGAAGACAAGTTACATTAATTATACCTATTAGTTCTTTAGTATTTGTTTTTATGGTGGCATCAGGAAACGTCATCTGTGAGCGTTCCTCTGTTTAGCAACGATGGATCGTGAGATACAGTCTGCTGACGATTAATGGATGATAAAGTCTTATGGTTCCGAAACTTCATCTTTGTGTCTTTGATCTGCTCCGACTGCCATAAATATGTTTTTATTCTTTGAGTATGGAACAGATAAACATTTTATATTTTTGAAACCACCCAAGTGTGAATCAGAAATACGATATTTAATATGCTTCCTAATAATGACAATTACAAATAAATTTGTTGTTTTATTTTATAAACTTAGAATAATTTAGTCACAAAGGATTCTGTTGAACTGCGTGGGTGACTACAGTTGAAGGACCAAGCCATAAACATTTTACTGTGAGATGCCTTTTACGCCAAATCGTCTTTTTATATACTACCTAAAATTATCAAAGATGATATTTTTAAAGCCGGATAAAATGTCTGCCAAAAGAATTAGAATTTAAAAGCAAAGCGGTTTTTATTACACATTTATGTAGGTAGTTTAAGTTAATACAAAAGGTTAATACAAATGGCCATTGAATGTTTCTCCATAATTATGGGTGATTAGTTAAGTGTATTAAAATACTTTCTTAAGTTTATAGAGGAGCGAACTTTAAATTTATAAGCCATAAATCAGTTTATTCTTTAAAAAAAACAACATCAATATCATATGATATTCGACATATTCGTCAGGCGTTTTAAATCACCAAACCAAATATAACCTTTTTCTATTTAAATAAAAATTAATTTAATGACAATCATTTTTCTAAATAAACAACTTCTTTATAATTTATAATTGAATATCTCGCTTGTTAGCTAAGCTAATCTGGCTTTTATGGCGTAAAAGGAGATAGAGACATATCCTGTCGTGCCTAGTATGACATCAGAAAAGTCAATACGGGTGAAATTGCCTTCACACACTATGTTTACGAGCAACGTGCGTGGCTGTTGTTTTTTATGAAGAAAAAACTACTAAAAGGAGAGGTGAATAAATGTTTTCATTCATGTGGAGGAAGCTCGCAATACCGAGCACATCGTCTGTTCAAGTGTGTGAATTTGTGAAAATATTATATTATTTTAATCGAAATATGGACGTAACTCTAAAAGTAAGTACAAAAATAGAACATAGATAATGTTTGCATGCATCAACCAATACTCAACTGGTAGAAAATGCCTAGGGCATTAACTCCGCCTATATACCTATTATGCATGAAGTTTTAATAAAATTAAAATTAAATAATTAATGTTTTGTCTGGGAATTGTTTGGTATTGTTGACTTGACTAAGACTAGTATATTCTTTCTAATTTATTATGTGCAAGTTTAGCGTCCTACTTAATCTTACGTATAATTCTGCAAGCGGCTTTGTTCGTAGTATCAGGGTAAAAATATGGTAAATCTTAATGTTTTTCCAGACTATTACAAATTTTAATCAAATCCGATCAGCAGTTTTAACGGCAAAGAGTAAAAAACTAATAAACCATACTATCCATATGACTTCTAGGAAACAAAAATACGTTGACTGGAAATTTAACGTTTATTTATCGTAAATTATCTATATTTTTACTCAAATTAGGTACCTACTTAAAACTATTTGCGATTACACAAAAATATTGCGTAGTATCTAATTCAAAATATTTTGTTACATATTTTTGTCATTATTACAATTCATTTTGTTCTTTTTTAAGAATGAAACTACAATATTATATTGTTTACATACATGTCTCTTGTCTCCTTGCCAAAGACTAAAATTACAAGGTAGTCTAAAAAAAATACAAAAAATGTAATTAAAATCTTGCCATACACCTCATGCGTAGGTATCATATCAACCGACAGACAACTAATTGTTAACATTACTCAAACTGACTTTAATATAGATAAATTAACCGTGGTTTTGCTGTAAGTAACAAATTATACGCCGCACACGCAACAATTATATTGATTTTAGTATTATAATAATAAATAAATGGTTTATTGTTTCTCTTTGAACATAGCCGTGCAACACAAAATTGAGGCATCCCCGTTAAATTATACAATACTTGTGGTGGGGTTGCCTGGCCCTTTCCTTAGCTTCAAAGTTAAGTGGCAGAAAATTTGAACATAAATGTAAGGCAAATTAAGTTAAATTATTAAAGAGAAAAGAAATAAAAGTATTATTTTTATCTTGGGCATGCTATTATAGCAACGGCAAGACTCTTTGAGCAAGTGGCTAGAGAGACGCCATAGCATCCTCACCTTCCGCCTATATCAGGTGCTTAATAAGCACAGAAGCTTCGGTAGGTACCTATTTCGGATCAGGTGGCGGGAGAAAATACACTGATATCGTAATTAAATACGTCTTAAACACAATATTTATCTTAAAGATTTTTTCGGCCACTTTAAGCGATAGTGCAGCTTACGGTGAAGCACGCCTTCTGTGAAGTAACCGCTTTCGACTCCAGTCAACTCTTGGGATTTCAAATTCTTGGGAAACAATTCGGGTAACACAGACTTTAGCAAAGAATTTCGTTCCTTAGTGCTGCTGTGGAAAAAAATTGGAGGCGAATCGCTTTGTGTATATGTGGTCCCACCTACACAAATTCATCATGACAAGTTGACATCTAGTATATCTTCCATAAACTCTCCTAAATGTAACCAGTTCAAAATGAACACAAAGTAGCTCGGCATCACCGGCACTTCGTCGTTTTGTTGTTAATGGGCCTCTAGGCACGCCTCTCGTTCTTGTGTTTTACAGGGATTGACTCAAACTCTCCCTACGATGAGAGCATTCAAGAAAATTAAGGAATAATTTAAAATAGCCATCCCATCGCTTTCGCCACGCCTATGTAGCGTTATGGTCAAGCCCAAAGGAATATAAGAAAGATCTTAGATATTCTACTGATATTAAAAATACGAATGTTTGCTACTTTGGATAAATGGGTATTTGTTACAGATCCACGTAAACATTACTCGATAGATTTTGATTGAAATTAGCACAGTTATAGATTACCTTTAGTCTGGAAGAATAGATTACCTACTTTTCATCAGCATAATGGGGACAAATCTGTTGGTGGTTGTGTTTAGTTTTAGTTTTTTCTACATGGTGGTAACCTTCCTGAGGTAAACCTAAATCCACTTATTAGCGTGTACTGATATTTTAAATAATGAATAAAAAAATACTTTTACAGTTACTTCTAGTCTTATCAATTCTGGCTCCGGCATTCACAGCTCCCAGAAATCCAAGACTGACTCTATTAGAATATGAACCAGCCCATTACTACCACCAGTATGACAGTAAGTTTTTTTTACTTACATACTTCGTACATTGTGATCTTAATGGTATAAAGTGTTATAAAGTACCTATGTTTAAATCGCTAGTATTCCGCTAAAAGGCAGGTCTTGAGCGCATTATTTTTCTATGTCACATCATTGTAGATATAACGTGCATGCCCATTTTTTTAAAAAAGGCCTTTTGTCATACAGTGATGGTAAGAGCATTATTAACCTCACTTCTTCTCCAGGTGTCTTCAAGATTTTCCCTTCACCGTTTGTCTGTGGTGTCTAAATAGATACATATGTAAAAATGTACGTTATTACGTTGGTACTTGCAAGGTTTCCAACTCTAATGAATTAAAGGCCTTAACTAAAAGCCGTCTACCTGATGGTAAGCAATCGGTACCGGCCATGGACACTCGCAACACCAGAGTAGTTACGAGTGCGTTGCGGAGGGGTAGAAGGATTGGGCGTTCGGTTACCTTACTCACATTGCAAAACACAAAGCTGTGGTTGTGTCACGCCGGTATTCTGCAAGGCTGTGTCGGTTGAGCCGACCCATACGTGGCGAAGCATGGCTCACCCACACATATGTCGTCGAGTTAGGAATTTATATTTCTTTTGGCTTTGATCATATCTCTCATCATTTGGTATCTATTAACTGTGGACTCCTTTAGTTAGCTAGTGATACAGTCTTTTCTGCTATCATCACAGAGCTAATATTACATTGCTATATTTTCTAGGAAACCCAAACGTGTACTCATTTGGCTATGACGTATCGGACCCATCGACTGGCAACACGCAATACAGAGCTGAACAACGTCATCCAAACGGGACAGTCACAGGTAGCTACGGCTACGTAGACCCTTATGGAAAACCTATCAGATATAAGTATATTGCTGATAATTTTGGTTACAGGTAAATGTCAATTTAACTTTTATTACTTTCGATTTTTAGTCCCTTTAAGTCTCCTTTAATAGTACCAGGGTAGATCCAAGAACAGCTTTAATTTAAATTTTTTTAACTGAGTTAAAAGAAAAGTATAACAAAATTGGTATGAAGTAAAAAAATATCGACGCACTGCGCCTAAACTTCATATCGATGAAAACGCTGTAAAGAGTATTGCTTTTATAATTTAGCAGGCACTTTTATATTGTTTATCAAGTTATCCAAACAATATTTTTCTTTTTGCAAAATAGGTATACGAGTAGGTAGAGTCCATTATACTTTGGTTTAAAACTATATTTTTTTTTATTTCAGGGTATACTCAGACTTGCCAACCCCAAAACCATTACCTATTTCATTGGCTGTAAGTGAACCTACAGAACCTTCCATCACATGGACCAGACCTCCAAAACAACACAAGAAGAAAGTCTTCAATGATATCGTCAAACAACTTGGATCTTTGTTTTCTAAAAACCATTTAGTATAAATTATATGAGTTAATTTTTCAAAATCATGACGCATTTAATTATCCTTAGGAAGTCAAGTATTTATTGATAAGAAAATAATTTATTTAATTTATGGAAAATATGTGACAATAAAGTAATTGACGATTATTTTTGTTTTTATTGTCATAATTTTAAATATGCCTCTATCATTTTAACACTCAGGTTGGGTTGCGGGGCAAGAGCAATAGCGCGAGCAGTACCGCGGCCTCGGCCTAGAGTAGGACAAGCAATGCATGGGGAGGTTACAGTCAGTAGGTAAGAGTCTGACACCCCTTGTCGCCATATCCTGGGCGAGAGAAGACATTTAATGATTTTTCTCTCACAAAAGAATTTTAACAGAAATACATAATAAAGAAAGGCGTGTCAATTAAATGAATCCATATTTGACTGCATCATTAAGAAGAAAAAGAATAGTTTTAATATAAAAAAATAAGAATGCCAACTAATTGTTCTTGAAACTGTTTGGTTGTCCGCGTAATTGACAGAAATAGCATAAATCAAAAGCGAAAAATATTACATATTGTCACTTTGACAAACTGAGATGTGTGTAGAAAAATATTTTTAATAATTATTACTATGAAGCGTTTAATAACTTTAAGAAAGCATTTGTGGAAGTTTTATGTGTTTTCTTTGATATTATTTACAACAGCCACATGTAAGTATAAAATAAACTATGTTTGTGGGTATTATATAGGGACACCATGTAAGTATGTACGGCAGAGTAGCAAGGTAAGCAAAACATACATGTACGACTGCGGAAAGCGTGCAAGGAACGGACAGTTTCTGCGCAGTGGTCCAAGTGGTGGCGATGGTTCTCTTTGTGGTTTTATGCGAAATACATTCGGTATCAAAAGCCGTCATCAACAGACAGAACTCAAATTAGGGACATATCCTTAAGTGGTGACGCCGACGCGCTTAAGATGAGTTCCGCCTCTTCATTAAAATTGAATTTTCGATTAAATGAAAAATGTATCAACTTATTTTAAGCCCGCACTCAAACTACCTATGTATGTATACCTAAAACGGATTTTCAACTAAGTATCTATATGTGGTTTTGTCTTTAGAGGCTACTTTTACCGATTACACACATATAACGAGCATCAGCCATGAATATTATTTTATTTTCCCTATATGACTATAAAGACGCTAGAAGTTAAAAGTATTAATTTCACAGGTTATCCGACAGCAAAACCTGACGTAGATCAATCTGAAGTACGGGATGAAAAGCATTTTGCTAACGGAACAGTAATTGGAAGATATACATATATGGACAACGAGGGTAATCCAATTCAAGTGAAGTACTACGCCGATGACGCAAGCTATGGGTAACGACAAAATGTTATAGTTTGTTGATGCGAATTTATGATTTAGTAGTAGGAATAAGGGGTGCAAAGGCACACGTATCTTGCCATGGTATTACATGATTTTTACAACAGGATCCCTTAGTTTGACCCTCCAGTAGTGATGAAGATTGCATTAAATGGACCAGCGTAGCATTTATTTACTTAAATGTTTTAATTTCAGGGTTGAACTAAAGAGCATTAAAATAGTAGATTCGTCAAATGAACCACTTCAACCATTTGCAAAGGATCAAAGCGGTCATGATGCTCAAAAAGAAGATCATCATGCTCAGAATTCCCTGAATAGTCCAAACAGATTAGATTATTCTTTGTTAAAAAATACAGAATTTGATACTAAAATACCAACCGATTTAAACACCAATTATGAAATGACTCAGACTGGAAATCCGTCTGGATCCCAAACTGGATCCCAAACTGGATACCAAACGGGATATCAAACTGGCTATCCAACTGATTATAAGTATAAAACTGACAATATCGACATTTTGAAAGAAATAAATAAAGGCAACCATTTTAAAATCGATAAAGAAAAAACAAATCCTGACTATGACGTATTCTTTCAAAATGAACTAAAAGGAGCAAAAAAATGTAGTAAGCAAAAAGTGCGAGTGTACTACGATGAGAAAGAAGCTAATAGGAAAATTCGCAGTGCAGTTAATACGTATGACGCTGATAAGTTTTGTGAGCAATTCTAATAAGTTAGTTTTAATAAAACAATTTTAAGTTGAGCAATTTTTTATTTAACATTATCCTATCATACTAACTATAACAGTAACATGACCGTTGAGATCGTAGAGGTCATTAACTGTAGATCCCTTAACCATGAGGCACTCAGATCTTTCGTATAGTATGTATGGATCTTGGTTTTCTCTTACATGACCAGCGTCACCAAGATAACAGTAGCCTCGTCGTCTATCTTCACCTAATAGTGTTATCTATACAACAATAAAACATGATTTAACTTGCAGTCAATATTGCGTTTGTATAGGATAAGTGAACTAGTGAAAAATTATAGTTAATTTTTTTTCTCGACGTTTAACTTACACTGAATACTTTTTCTGTATCATCCAATTTACAGAGCCACAGTAAAAAAACTTCATTATCGATAAACTCTACTTTAGTTGTGCAAGTTTTATGGTCAAAACTGTTTTTACTGCGAAGTTCTACAATCGTCTGAAACGATAAAGATTTTCAAATATCGATATTACATGAATATAGGTAAATATCTATCTCTTAAGTCGTAAGTTAAAAAAAAATACCAATATCAATAACAAATTATTCTAAGTGGACTCTAGTTTGTGGATAGAAATATCTCTTGATCTTGATTCGAAGAAAAGCTGACGCAATTTGTTAGACTATCAGTTAAAATACTTAATACCTCAGAATCGTTATCGAAAATTTTCTCTGTTTGTGTCTGAATACTGCGAGTAAAAACGTGTGTTGAGTCATATTTGATGTTTGGTAGATTTATAGGATTTGTTGGCAACTTCACAGCCATCAGCAGCAACAGTTTGTTGTCCCGCATAGAATTACGAACAGTTGGTATTGAATCTGCCTTCCTTAACTTGTTTGATCTGAAAATAAGAAAAAAATAATGAAAATTGCAAAGTATTTGCTAATTGTGTTGATGAAGTTACAGATTGTTAACATTATTCAAATGAGGTTGAGGTTTGATTACTAATAATAATATAGTATTTAAACCTAACTACCTTCTTTGAGTTTCCATTATAAATGTAGCCACGCATTGTACTTCGTTGGAGAAGTTTGAAGCTTTCAGCGAAATTTCTTGAGGTGTGGTATCATCCAAAGTTTTTCTTGGAACTTTGGAATGATCGAAATGAAAATGTAACATGAAGGAGTCGATTGTCACCATTTTCGAACATGTTGTTACTGGACACATTACAGGTCTGAAAATATAATGATCAAGAAGGCTTTGGGTCCCATGCATCAAGTCGATATGTTACATTTACAAGTCTACTAATGCCTACGTTGAAACCGACTTAAGATTAAGATTTCCGACAAAATTACTAGACAAACAAAAATAATTGATTCCACCTTAGAGCAATATGGGAGCTGCTTTGATCAGAAGCATTGTCTTCTGTAGTCTTAGAACCCTCAACTGTTGTAACACTTGAGCTGGTATCTTGGTAATGTGGATTTTTATATTCAATAGTTGCTTCGACTGTTTGCTTAGAGCCTTGTTTTTGTTCCTGAAATTATATTTGTTATTCACAAATTTCTTCTAGCTCATAAGTAATCTTTAACCAATGAGGTTTCACATATTAAAAAAGGGTCATCTTTAGGTTTCTTAAATTATTATTATTGAATAAATACCAGCTCAGTCTTTGCAGAGCTATTATCTTCTTTGCAGTCTTTCTTTGAATCTTTATCTGGATCTGTAAAGATAATGATTAATGTTATCACACACATAATCGGTAAATATGTGTCGGTACCTGGCTCTGTACCTACTATTAACTAAAAAGTATGCGAGCTGCTATAGTATATAGTACCTTGATTTGCAAGTTCATTAGAGTCTCCACTTGCTAGGTCTTTAAATTTCTTTATCATGTCATCATTTTGATCCACCTCTTTATCTGGATCGTTGTCACCACAATCATTATGATTGTTTTGTGTGGCATCTAAATATAATATAGTAAATTAGAAAAATAAATAATAAAAATAAAGTATTATCTACTAGAAATAAAGTTTTTTGCGAGAACTTTTTGTGCGAGAAAAAGTCGTGGTGGCCCGGAGGGTAAGGTGCCTGCTTCTCGTGTATGAGGGTGCGGGTCCGAAACCTGGCAACTATCAATGTGACTTTTTCCAAGTTATATTTATGTACTTTATTAGATTATTTCGACACTAGATAGATATTTTTTTTAGACTATGTACTTTGATGTTATGTAATTTAAAGTCCGATTCAATTAAAAATTTTAAGAAATCATCATTTGTTGAAAATTGTCAACAGTGCGAATATTTAAAGTTAGTTAGTAAGTAGTTTATAAAGTTTAATTACTTATAAGAAAAAAAAACGTACTTTAAGATATTTTTTTTTCTTTCTAAAAAACGGGGGAGTTGTAGTGTGTGTGACATCTCTCCCTATTAAGTAGCATAAGATATTATATTATTAACACTTAATTAAAGACGATCGTCCAAGTAACACGTTTCTCATATTTGCGCCCACATTGCACTGACATACGGTGAAAAAAAACATCGCGGGGAAACCCGCACTTGTAACTTATAATCATAAGTTTGAAATAGCCAATCCACCTTCAGCAAGCGTGGTGATTAATGCTCCTATAACCTACGAGTATAGTAACCTGGTTAGGTTAAAGGAGAAGGTTTTCTCCGTGTGAGAACAGGCCTTTGCTCAGAAGTGGGCACTTATAGGCTGATTATGATGTGTAAGATAAAATATTTTCTAGAAAACGTTTTTCGTTAATATCATTTATTATGTACGTACCATATTTTTGACAGCTTTTACATATGACGTGCCCGCTCTCGCATACATAAAGACTTGACTTGGCTGTTGTTTTACAAAGAGAGCAGTGCACCGGAATCTTCTCGGTACTCGATGATGTGTCGGAAAATGTAACACTTTGCACCTTAAACAAAATGTGTAATAGTTTTTTGGTTGTCCATATAAGAGAATAGTTCGACAATATTAGCAATAATACAGCTATTACGAATCCTAGGCCTTGCCCAGTGGTGAGACACCTATATAATAAAGGAATTAGGAATTTGGAGTTCTTATTGACATCTTTCGTGATTCTTTTTGTATGGTATAGGTCGGCAAACGAGCAAACGGATGACCCGCCAGTGGACACCCGCAACACTAATCGAGTTACGAGTGAGTTGCTGAGCTTTTAAGAAGATAATGACCTCACTCACCCGGCTTCTCTGTGAGGCCGAGGTATCACTTCAGTCAAGCCGACCCATTCGTGACGAAGCTTGGCTCTCCCAAACTTGACTGTAATGGTGTCGAATCCACATAATAATATGACTACATTTTCATGATGATTTAACATTTTATATTGTTTCTTTAGTAAAATGTATGTTCTAGCAATTTTCAACGAATTTATTAGGATAATAAGAATGTTTAAAATCAGTGCACTCTATTCGTTATTTAAGGTGAATGAAATAAATAGACTCGTTCTTTATTATGCAACTTTGTTTAGTATGCCGTAGTTTTGCTGAGGAGGCTTATTTGCTCCAGATGTTACGCGTTAGAACTGCAGATGAATTGACGCGAACAAAACTATTACGTGATTTTATGTTCTATAGATTTAAGGTGAAGATCGGTAGTTATATATTAATATCAGTTTATTTTTATTTCCATTATTTGTTTAAGTGTGGAAAGCCAAGCTTCGGCACGAATGGGTCTGCTCGACCGGAGTTATACCTTGATCTCACAGAAAACCGGCGTGAAAAACAACTACAGAATTGTGTTCGGTCGTCTGAGTGAGGTTATCGGAGACCCCATCCTTTCCCTTCCCTCTCCCCCATCCCTTTCTTTCCCAATCTCAAAATCTTCGAAACCCTAATCTTAAACTTGTAACTCCTCTGGTGTTGCGGGTGTCATGGGCGGTGCAGATTGCTCACCAGCGGGTTATCCGTCGGCTCGTTTGCCAAACTATGACATAAAAATATCTTAGAGAAACAGAGTTTGGAGATATTCACCAAATTGTAGGTTAGAAACAGATCGTAATAGAATGTGTTTTAACACAAATGTTTATATTACTTGTTACTGTGATCGAATGATAAAACATTTTATAACGTAGCGTGAAAAGAAAAGTACTATAGGGTATTCACATGGGATAAAGCTGTTAATTTAACAACAAAATATTTTCAAAGCAAACAACTCTACCACAGGCATTGCAATCGATTCTGATCACTGTGCCTTAACCCGTTGTCGTCTAAGTTTATTTAGATACGCTACAAGGTAGTAAAAGCATTGGGAGGTTTGTTATTCCTCTCACTTACTCAATATGCTAATCACTCTTCGTTACCACTCTTTATGTTTTGAACATGGGAATTTATTGATAATATATGTATGTAGCGAAAGTGTATTAGTCTTAGAATAAACCCTTGTATCGTATGTATCCGGACAACAATGACGACACAAAACGTTGAAGAAATTCTTAAATGCATTGATTAGATAGATTAGCGGAAGGAATTATGTTAACTTATGATGTTAGTAGAATCACTTCTTTAAAAATTGGTCTTTTTTTACTTGATATAAACTAGTGCTTGACTGCGACCCCACCTGATGGTAAGCAGTGATGCAATCATTGATGGTAAGGTGCATTAGTTTATTAGTCTAAAGAAGAAATTGTAGGGATGTTAAGTGGGTAGATAAGGTTGATATTTTGAAAAGTATAGGCTCGCCAAAGAGATAGGCAATAGGTGGATTAAAAGATAAACTGCTGTTTGTTCATCGAACAGACGTATTATCTGATGTTAAGCATTCAGCTAATCACAAGATCACACGCACCACGAGAAAAGAAGTAAGTTGCCGGGCTTTTTGAGATTTAGTATTTGAAGAATTGAGAATTGAAGGGTAAGGTTGGGGCCTGCGGTAACCTTAGTCACACGGCGAAATATAACGCTGTAACTGTTTTACGCCAGGTTTTCTTGAGACGCCATGATATCACTCCCAATGAGTTCACCGCCACCGCAGATTCATACCAGATCATGACACTCCCACACTTAATTTGTTAAATAAAATTTCTATATTTACCTTTTTTAACATTTTGTCGTAATTGTAAGGATCGAAAAATATAATTATAAGTAAATATTTCGAAAAATATTGGAACGATTGACCAACTTTGACATAAATATAACCCATATGTATAACTGTTAAACTAAATGTCATTATTACCCCTATATTTATTGTACATAATCTTTGGTCAACAGGATTTTTGTGCAAAGAGTATATAAGAGTATTGGGTTGTCATTGACAAGGGTATTGATATTGTGAATGGTTTGAAAACTGTTTGTACTAGTTGAAAAGCGTTTTAGTAAGAAGTAAATTGGCAAGGTTATAGTAAAATTTTTGAATATTTTAAATTGAAATATTATGGTATGCTTGTTGTATGTATCAATGTGAGGAAAGAAGGAGTGTCAGAATCTAACTGACTAAAACCCCCCTTTCCTTCTCCTGCTTTAGACCGATGCCGTGGTACCTTGTTGCGCTTGCCCCGCAACCACGGCTGAAAATCAGCCCTATAGGGCCCCGTCTGTGGTAGTCTATTGGCTCGCTGCTCGCTTCTCGCTACGCGCCTTACGCTTGGGTCTAGTTCTGGTCGAGCGGCGAGCTACCTTTACTCGCCGTTCGGAGACCCGCGCTTAAGGTGGCTAGAGATTATCGCTCGATCCCCGACGCCCAGACCGTTCCCTAGTAGGCCTACAATTTATTCTTTACCTCTTTTTTGTGTGTCAATAAAAACGGAAGGAAGCAACTGAAACGTGTCAAAATAAAAACCGGTAGAAATTGCAGTCAGTAGAGCAATGCTTAGGTAATTAGATAGTTACTTATTGACAAGAAAACGTTATTGCGGATGCTAACTAAATGCCAACGTACTTTTGTATGCGGCAAAGTCCGCATATTTCAATTACCCCGTACTTCCCTGTCCGTTGTCGGTCAATGATCAATTTATTTTTTCAAAGAAAATGTGGGTAAAATTTTAACGAAATATACTGTGATACAATGTTACCTTGAGGAGTCTGATTATTCTGTGTGTATTTAATATTCTGTAGTTATTTTTTAAATTTAATTTGATATATAATTCATGATGTGCTTTTCCCTCGTAAGACATTGATACGTCTGATTCAATTTGACTAATTGTTAGCAATAATTATAATTTGAGTGTACTCAAGTGTTGGTGAGCCAAATAAATAAATAAGTTGTAGCAAGGGCAGAGATAAAGTATTTGTCACTATGTCAACTAACCCAATTCCTAATAATAAATAATTATATATTACCCAATTCCTAATAATAATTAATTATTATTAGGAATTGGGTAATATATAATTCTTAATTTTCTTTTCGCCTGGCAAGCTTCGAGATTATAGAATACTCTATTTCTAGTATTAGAACTGTATCCTAGCGCGACTGCTGATTATACAAAATAAATTATATATATATATATATATATATATATATATATTCTAGTAAGTAATACTATAAAGTTATACAGGAAAAATGGATGTTTATAACTGTTTCTCGTTAGAATACCAAATGAATGTTCTAATTTTTTTTTTTGCAAGAGTGCTAGTCCATCCAACTTATACATATTTGGGCACCTATTATGTCGAATACTACAACTACATATTACAACATTTATAAAAGAACCTGTAAGTTTGCGAGTTAATTTGAAATCAATTCCTTTTTACTGAATTTAATTATTATTATGTAAGTTAAAGGTGTAGTGTTAATAATTGTAAATGGTATTGAACAAGATGTATTGGAGCAACATCGCATTGTGTACTCTAAACCGGTATTATTATTACTAGAATAAGAATTTGAACTGAAAAAGTCAATTAGTTATAAGAGCCATGTTTTGGAACGAATGGGACGGCTAACCAAGAGTCAGCACGGCCTCACAGAAAATCAGCGTGAAAGAACCACAACGTTGCTTCGACTTGTAAGTGAGGTTACCGAAGGTCCAATCCTTCTTCCCCTCCCAATCAATCCCAATCCGTCAATCTTCAAAACCCTAATCCGTAAAAGGCCGGCAACGCACTTGTAATTCTCTTGTATTGCGAGTGTCCATGGGCGGCGCTGATTACTTACCATCAGGCAATCCGACTGCTCGTTTACATACGATAGGACAGCCTATTACATAAAAAAATAAAAAAAAACCACCGACACAAAAAAAAAGTATATAATACAAATAAAACTAAATTAAAATCGGTTCATTCAGGAGCTATGATGCCACAGACAGACAGACAGACCGACAGACACGCACGTCAAACTTATAACACCCCTCTTTTTGCGTCTTGGATTTAAAAAACAGTCAAAATAATAAATTAATTTATTATCTTGATGATTAGGTTCATGTACGATTGTCATGTGCCAATAATTTTACGATCTGCTTTGACTGGTAGAACTGCATATACAGGTTTGATTATTGAATTAAGCTGCTCATTTCGTTAAGCAGTTTAATAAGTGTAAAATGATATTGTCCTCATTTATTATATTGATTAATGTTATATTTTTATTTTTTTATTTACTTGTATGAAAATATTTATCTATTCTAATACTAGCTTCCGCCCGCGGCTTCGCCCGCGTGGTATGTTGATGAAAAGTACCTATGTCCTATACAGGAGTGTGTCTTATGCCTGTCCCAAATTTTATCCAGATCCATCCAGCCTTTGTGGCGTGATTGAGTAACAAACATTCAAATATCGTAACTTTCGCATTTATAATATTAGTAAGATTTTAAAGAAGGAAGATTTGATTGTTTGTGCTGAATATCTACATTTCAAACTATTTGACCAATTTGGAAAAAAAATCACTCTTGGAATTTCATTACGAGTTATACGATTTTCAACCTTTGAATTTTTTACATAGATCTCATATTTGGAAGAGGCCTTGTTTTTAACGAAGTCCTGTCTCAGACTGGAAATGTCTCACCCTCAGATAACAACTCACCAATAAATATCGTATAAAGTGCATTACAAAACAAAGTGTAGCAAAGTAAATGTGCAAGGTAGAATGCTATGGTTGTATAACTGGGCCGCATAACCAACGGATATCGTAATGCATTACATTTAGTCATTACCTATATCAGTAGGGTACTTTTTTGATAATTCCGATTCGCAATACGTAATGTATTTGCGATTTATTTGATACAGATTTATATATAAAAAATCAGGTTGACAAAAAAAAACTGTGTTTCAATATAACATAAAATAATTAAGGTCAATGTAGGTCTGGACTTTTGAGGTCTGGCTGGTTGGTTAGAAAATGTTATGAACTTATTTTTTTATTTTTATTATTTTTTAAGCATCTACGACTTTACCTTGTACCCCATTGTTACTGTTACCAGTGATCATCGTATTAAGAACAACCACTGATATAGGTATATGATGGTTCTCAATACATGAGTTGTTTTATACGACGACATTAATATTGCAATAGAACTACTCTCAGCATTATTACTCTTTAATTTACCGTGGCCTCGACACAACAGAAGAAATAGGAGAAGGAACGGGGAGAACACATTTACTCTTTATTAATATTTTTGTAATGGAAAACACTTTTTGCTGTTCGAAACAACTTCTCCATGTTAATTATGTTTATGCTATGATCACAGGATTACGTGATATCTTGTTAGTCAGTTATTATGCCATATCTTATGCTCCTTCCATTGATAAGGCATTTTACATCAGCTTCCTAGAACAAGGAATTAATCCACCGTGACAAATTGTTGCTTGCCACAATCTCCAGCAGTATATGTATAATATAATTGATTTACGTCATCCATAATATTGTTTTCTGGACGTATAACGACCGTGCCATACTTCTATTGTCACATAATTAGATGGTAGGAAAGTGGGCTAGTAATCGCAAGTTACGTAACCAGTCTCGCGTATTAGTGATATATTGTAAACGAAAAATATGTTAAACTATTTTCTTGGGCAACGGAGCGGTGTAGAAAATGCTACTGAATTGTTTTGTTGTAGAGATTTTCCATGGAACGGGAACAGTAAATTGTCGACGACATAGTTTTTAACATTTCAGTGTTGTCATCTTAAGTAGGTGCTTATTAAATTTGTGTTTGTTTTCATTAATGGCTTACACACCAGCTTTTCTTGTTAGGTTGAACTTTTTCAAAATAATGAGGCCGATTATGTTGATGAAGACGTATTTATCGTGTTATTCAACATATAAAGATCTATCTTCATTTCATTTGAAGCGATAATCTACACTGCTGCAGCATTTAGCCAGTGATTGCATATAGCTTAGCACTATTTAGGATCTATGCTAATTAAGGGTAACTATTATAATTTAAGGGACTCTACAATTTAAAATTGGAAGTCAAGTAACTTCTCAGAGCCATATTTCATATAAGTGTTTAAGGTCATATTATGCTCTATAAATTGCAAACTTCTATAACACTCGCTAAGGTCAATCCCGAAAACACAACAAGAACTGCTGAATCCACGTGAAAGTAGATACTAAGAAGATTGTAAACAAACCTATTGTTCTTATAACGTCACTTAGAATAATTTCTACACACGAGGAAGTTTTCTTCTCAGTCTGCGGTTGTATTTTTGATCGCAAATCTGACGTAAGTGTATCAGTCATCTATCGTTATTCAACTACCCATCTATTTAATACTAAATAATACGATATCGACATCTAGCTGTCCTTTTCTTAGCTATGAGTGATGAGTGAGAGGTTTTATTTATGTTGATTAGTTTTGTGGCAAGGAATGGTAATATAATGTTGGTATGTTTGTACTGCAGCGGCTAACTGTTGCATGCAGTCTTGATAACGGACGCAGTTGAATGTAATGAGAGTATTTGCTTGCTGATGGACGGGTCGCTATGATATAACTCGCCTATTTACGAGCGCGATAGTCCTATATTAGAAGTTCAATTGGCCACTTCGTTTTGCTCGTTTTAGTAAACGAAAGATGGGCGAACTGTTTTACTTTTCTGTTAGTTGGTTGAAAAGTGGTCAGTCACCGATAATTATTTTTTACAACCTATAATTGTCGGTTTGGCAGTTGTAGGTATCCCTGACAATCGTTTATTTGTTTAGCTACGAGTATCTGGATGACCAAGCTTTAGTTGGTATTCTTTTTTTAAGTGAAATCTAGTTAAATTGATGTTTCATCCTCGAAACCAAATACCTAGAAAATTCTTATGCTAAATTAAGGATTGTTCATTTAAAAGATACCTATTTGAATTGCGAATCCCTCTCCAAACGTTGTTCTTTTTTCAGTTTAACTTGAATAAGCTCACGATTTTTTTAAAGTGTTTAATTTATTAAAAATAAAATGTTATGTTATTGTATTTAAATGGCTACTGTTATCCCCGGCGTACATTGTACCCACCACCCAGGTAGTCCACATATAAAACTACCGTGTAGTTTCACTCACCGCATTCGGTGCTCAACCAGTGAAACGAGTGTATCATTCGATTTTTGTTTTTGTTTCAAATCGATTACGAATCGAGTGATCGTGTGCTGGTGTCTTAATTAGAAGCTTTGGTGTTAATTACAAGCAAATCGAAAATGGCCTTAAAGGTGAGATAAGCTTATTCGTTAAAACAACACTTTTATTTATACTTTTTATTTTTATGCGTATTATGGTGCGCGCAAGAAGAGACTTACGCCCAATAGTGGACTTACAGAAACTGACGATGATGATGATTTTATTAAATTTAAAAATAAAGCTTATTCCTTAAAAAAGATTTTATTTATTTATATTTTAATGACAGCAAAAAAAATTGAGCTGAAAAAGATTTGTAGGTCACATTCAATTTGCAAGTTAGTACATTATTTTTTTATTTATGTCAAAAGTCTGACATCGCCAATTTTGACTTTTTTCTTCTTTTTAACGTTATCCCAAATTAGTATTTTGTCATGGGTCTTGAGTACTTTTCCGAATCCATGTTCCATCCATGTGGATTAAATCTGCGTCACGTTGGCCAGCAGCCGGAACAATGTGGAGTCTTCTCTTCTTAGTTGCTTCATTGTTTGACAGAGTGGTCGTAGTTGTTTTACAATGGTTGAGGAGAAGGAGGCCACCAGTGTGTGCTTGAAGGTGTCCTACCATTTGTCCCTTAAATATATTTTTGCCTTTAAAAATCACTGCAAAAATTTACTTTTAACATGTACTTCCAAGCTCGTCATAGAAAACCTTTTTTGTACACACAAAACTTATTCATCTACAAAACACTCAGCCACGACCTGTTAAAAAGTCCTGTTTCTTAGATCGGCTGGACTCTTCGGCGCTGCGTAGAAATGTAGCATCGTTATTGTTCTCTATCGCCTATACCACGGGAAGTGTTTTAAGGAATTGTTCGGTTTGACCCTTTCTGCATCTCCTCTCCTAATGACGGCTCCCGGAGGTTAGGGCACCCGCTTCTCATGCAAGAGGATGCGGGTTAGAAACCCGACAAGTACCAGTGTGACTTTTTCTGAATCATATGTAGTTTCTATGATTATTTAGACACCACTGACATTTGGCAAAGGAAAACATCGTGAGGTAACCTGGACTTATTTATAATCTGTAATTATAAATTTGAAATCACTCACTCACTCACTTGAGCAAGCGTGGCGATTAATAATCAAATCTTCTCCGTGTGGGAAGAAGCCTTTGCTCGTATAGGCTAATGACGTGCACCTCTTCTACAAAAAATCCGACGTCACAATTATGTAACGTATGCAACAAAAGGTCATTAATACTACATCGTCAAGTGAAAACAAAAGCGTTACAGAAGTGTAGGCAAAAACTTATTCTGTGGATCTATCAATGGAGTATTGAAAGTTCGTGTGAATTTATAAAATGGATTGTAAGAACCTTCCATTGTTTTATGGGAGATGGCTCGACAAATATGGCATAATATTATACGCACATTGTCTATAATTCTGTGATAATTATTGGCCAAAGAAAAATGCATCTTGGTTTTTTTTTGTGTAGTGAGTAGTTTGTCTGATGAAGTACCTACTTGTGCATTTGTAGTTTGATTGATAGTACCTTATAATATATGAATGTGCGGGAGACAAAGCAATGGTGATTTATTTATCGGAGAAAATTAAAATATGAACATTTTTATATTTGTTGCTGTTGACCTGTCTAACTTTTCTATATTATTTATACTATACTTTTAATTAATAATCACGCATGGTCATTGTTAATTTTGGTTCATTTTTTTTTAAGACACAATACTTACTTGTAAGATAAGCAGTCACTTATACCGCACACAGAGAAAACGGATTACGCATCTTTAATAAATCCTTGGAACAAAAAGGTCCTGTGCTATTGTAAAATAATCAGATAAATTAATCCGTAGCATTTTGACGAAATATAAACATGAATATTGGTTTACCAAAAGCAAATCCTTAAACCGCTAATTAATAATGCCGATACAGTTAAATTTCTTCTGAAGATTTTATCTTTCAAACTTAAACATTTTTGGGCAATACATTTCCAGTTGGTGCTCGTAGTCCTGACAATCGTCGCTTGCGCACAAAGTCGCGTGTTCTACAACTTGCGACCAATCAGAGTGGTCCATTCAGATCTCCAGCCAGCCGCGTCCATAGTACATGCTGAGCCAAAACACTTCGAGCACCATATCTCAGAAGATGAGCACGTTGATTATTATGTAAGTACTTACTTGTAATATGTTTAACTGAATATTAACTACGGAAAAGGGAAATCTATGATGTTTGTCATAGATACGACACGGCAAAACACGGGCGGACTATTCATGTCGTGTCGTGACGTGACGTATGGCGATGAACCAGTCGGGCGAGAAGTCAGTAGGATTTGACATTTGTCACGTTTGACATAGTACTTACGGGCAAGTACCTACTATTTACAAAGAATCCTTAATTTTGAAATCTCGGATCTTCGAAGACCGGGTGATGATGAAGATAACCCTCCTGTTTATACTGATCCTCAATACTGGTCGGCTACGCACTTGTAACCCCTTTGATGTTGCGTCTGTCCTGCAGGCGGTCCCCAATTGATTTCCATAAGATGATCCGTCGACTCGTTCGCCAAAGGAAAAATTACTAGAACTACTTTTATCTAGAATTGTTCAAGATTATAATGTAACTTTAGTTACATGTTAAAGGTTGAAATACATAATAACACCATCCTATTAATGTTAACTCAACCAAACGTAAAAGTGTAAGTAATTATTTACAATCCATTGACCAAAGAGAACAAAAAACAAGAGCAGTAATTCAGTATATGTAATACAAAATTACTGCTTAGTTTTACCTTAACAACTTAAACCACGTAATAACATTATTACGTATAAGACCGCGTTTATGGAGACGCGGTGCGTCGAGCGTTCGTCGTACATTGCAGTAGCGGGCCACGACATCGCGCGCGCAACAATAACATTTGCAGCAATTTATAACGATCGCCCTACACGCTTCGTTTTTGTAGATGAGTACATTTCCGTTTTTGTATTCTCATGTACCTAAGCCACTTTATTGTCTTTTTCGTAATAAATAGGTAATAATGGTAACTCAATAAATGAGTCCTAATTTAACATATCTTTATATTACGCTGGGAAAAGATATAAAAATCCCACCATTAAAGGATGTTATAAATATTAATTGCTAATTACGTAAAGCAAATCGATATACGACTATAACTACATATTATTATAATCGATGTAATATTACAAGTAATATCGGATTTGCGGATAAAATTATATAATTATTGCATAATAATAATTAAAGTACGTAAAGAGGTAGTAATTGACACCGTTTTTATTAAACTACATAATAAAACGGTTGCATGAGGTTATTTTTAGAATTACTTCTTTAGTTCCTGTAGTATACGGATAAAAATCTCATTTATGTTTTTAGAGTTGCAAATGAAATCCATTTTGTTTAAATGTTATCTCAATCTATACATATAATAATATAATATAGCCTGACTGGTGACTTTAACGTTGTTAAATTAATTGCTTTTTTAATTCGGTTGAATTTAACAATTTCTATAATCAAAGTTTAATATTTAAAAAAAAATCATACGTAAATTTTAACTTTCCTCGAAGTAAGTGTTCTGCTGTTATACAGTGTACATAATATAATAAAATTTACCACATAAATTATATTAATAAAACTTTTATTGATACGTCCTCAATAACTTTAACTGCACACAGTAAAAACGGTTAGTTTAAAACTGTTGTAAACGTCATTCAGTACTTCCTAACAGTTAACAATGGACGCTTTGAAAGTTAATTCTTATTATGTACCTATACGTAAAAAAGTCACATAATTATTTGTAGTAGGTACTGCATCTTCGAATGAATAGGAATTGTGATAAGATTGCATTTCCTGTGTGTCGTTCCGCTTGTTGATGAACTGTGCTGCGTGCGCCTACGCAAGATGTGTGTGTGGTCCGAGTTAGAAGATATTTTCTATTAGAGTGACTATTTAATTTTTTTGGTGTTTCTTAATTATTTTTTGTTTGTATAATATACTGTTATAATAACTTGTCTCAGCTTTATTTAAAGAAAATTACGTAATGGTTATTAGCCCTGGATACTAAATTTGTTACTCAAGCTTCGAACGGAGCAATTGGTTTACGAAAAATTGGTAACAGGTTTTATAATATATCATTCCTCCGGTGGGGTGTAACTTTTACTTTAGGGCAAAAGCGAGATACATATTGATAGTGACATATTGATGGTAGTCTATGTATCTCTAACAATAACATAATGCTTTTAATCTGCCTTATTGCATGATGGGGTTGGCCGACTGAGGGGATAAAAATGGGACCCATTCAAAACTCTGTACTGTTGTAAACTTTTTAACGCACTGTCTTTAGAGTGATGTCTACCTGACTACCCTGAATCTGATGAAACTTACTGTATTTTTTTGTTTTTTTTTTATCCTCCCCTTTCCTATTTATATTCAATACAAGGGCGGTATGTTAAATATTCCTCATTATATTAATCTGACGCGCTCTAATAACTACCGAAAACCCTTCGAAGGCTCCTCTACTATTATTACATTTGGTTGGGTTCCATTACCTGAAAAAGTCTTATATTACAATACTAAAATCGTATCTATGTGATTGGGTAGATCCACCTAGACCTCTATGCAACAATAAAAAAAAGAACATTCATTTCATTTACATTATCAAATCGCTTGTCGCTTATAACTTAAGGTGACGTAAATTCTAGTAAAATATGTATAAAAGTAGTTGTGCAAGCACACGTGGTCAGTTCCAACGGTTTCACTCCAACACTATACTATACTAGTATGAATGGTTTCCGACTTCACACTATATTTGCATTTGATTATGAACGCATGACATTGGCATTACGTAATGTTATGGTAGTGAACTCAACCTCGATTTTTCTGGAAATTGCTTTGACCTACATTTTATGTTTTGATTGTGCGTAACAATTTGTTTATATGTATTGTATTACGCGTAAGTGGGAAGTTATATAGTCTTTGTAATAATGTATAATTATTTTAAGGGATGGTTGCACCACCTAATGTTTTTCTGAGATACGACAGCAAGCTAGCAGACGGATCGCCTCGTGATCGGTGCCGCATGTGGCAACAATGTCCTGGGTTAGAGATTTCAGGATTGGGGGTTTTAGGGATAGAGGAGGAGTGAAGAATTGAGCCTCCGGTAATCATTAACACAGCGACATCCAATGCACGCGTTGTTTCACGCCGATTATACCTGTAAGATAATCACGGCCTTTGTATCTAGTCGCGTCATTAATACTGAAAAATGTCTCTCCAACACCTAAACGTATTTATACTAGATATCTAAACTCCTTTCTTTAATGTATTACTAAAAAAATATATTATATTTTATTCAATTAAATGATCATTTTTTTATGATGATTTAATTATTTTCCAGGCGTATCCGAAGTATGTCTTCAAATACGGCGTGAATGACTTCCATAGTGGTGACATCAAGACCCACCACGAGAGTCGGGATGGTGATGTTGTTAAAGGTAATTTTTTTATTCCATATAATCAGAACAAAGAATTTGCATCACATACTTTCAGATTTTTGCCCGGTTTCCGAAAGCCCGATCAATGTTAAAATCAACTAACTAGGTGTCAAATCTCTTGTCGAGTCATCTGATTGGTTGTTGATAATTCAGCCAACCAATCAGATGACTTGACAAGATATTAGATTGATTTTAACATTGATCGGCCTTTCGGAAACCAGGTGTTAGTTTTGCATTTGTTTAGCTGGGGATTCCAGCCCAATAATGTACCGTGGTCCCGGCCCGAAGTGGAGAAGGAATGGGAAGATTTTTATTTCAGTAAAAGAAGCTGATACTTCTTCTTGACCCACTTTGGGTGGAAGGAGTCATTTGGTAATGTTCCTGTATATAAAAATGTATCAATAGTGACGTACGGATGATATATTTATGCAGGAAACTTTTAAGACTTCCAATGGATAAGCAAAAAGCTAATAGGAGGATTCCAGAAATGCTAGGAAGAATTGTAAATATGAACTATTGTCGTCGTTATTTTGAGTGCACAGTTGAAGTGGTGGATGGGCAACTGGCTGCCGCGGGGCCGATTCTCGCACGGAACAACTCTTTGTGTGATCCACAAAATGTTGTTTCGGGTCTGGGTGTAACGTGTATGTGAAATTGTATGTTTGTAAACGCACCCACGACACATGAGAAAATCCTAGTGTAGGGCAAAGTTTATATGTAAGAAAAACCATCGACACTTTTATGAGGTCTGGCGTTTTGATTGGCCTGCTCCAAATTGGCCAACTAATCAAAGTGCCAAAACGCGGCAACATCAGAGTCAAGTTAGATTGAGGAATATGTGCCTTAATTCCATATAAATTTAAAAATTGGCAGATAGATTAAATCAAACTGTAACAAATTAGATGCATGTAAAAAAATATTATAGAATGTTTAGTAAGTTATAGTTAAACTTTCGTAAGCGTTTTTTTATTGTAAAATTTGTTATTTTTCTATCTCATTATCTCAAAATATCTTTTGAATCAGACATGATAGTTACAAAGGCATATTTTGTTATGTGATAGGACGGCAAATCATCAGACGGATTACTTGATGGTAAGCAATAGGAGCCACCCATGGACACCCACAAAAACAGAAGAGTTAAGAGTGCGTTATCGGCCTGTTGAGGATTAGGGTTTCGGCAATTTAGGCATTGGGGAGGAAAAAGAACGCTGGTAAATAACACGCAAATGAATAACATAATATTAAGCCTTACCTCACCACAAACGACTTTCTTTACAGGTCAATACACGGTGGTTGAACCCGACGGTTCTATCCGCACAGTGGACTACACAGCTGACAAACACAACGGGTTCAACGCTGTAGTACACAAGACTGCCCCTATCTCACCCCATGAAGCTGCTCATCTTCATCACTAAGACATAAGAGATGTTAAACCAACTGGACTTCCAATTGAAACTTTCTGGAACCCAAAATGTGCTGGAACATAATAGGCCAAGTTTCGCTGTTGGTCAAAACACTTATAAAAGGAATTGTGAATAGTCATAGAAATTATTCGAGATCCAAAGAGAACAAAGCACTAAACAGAAGGTTCTCAACCTCATTGACCTTGAAGTTTTGTTTTACCTACAATAATATGAAATGACGTTTGTATTTTTTTTTAAATTTTGGGCGTAGCGAAAGTATTTCCTTTGTAATCCACGTTGGTAATATTAAAATTTCGGATACAAAAATTGGCGTGTTCATCAGAGGCCAATTTTCGATGTTTTTCTTACTATACTAGTTTAAGTTTTTATTTAATTGTCATCAAATTGTTATATGAAACGGTTAAGTCAAAATGCTCGATCTCTTTTCAATTGAATGTTGAACCTTTCATTAATTTATTATAATCGTTACTTAAATGTTTCTACGAAAAGTACTTGAATTGTTATAGGTTATTGTTTTAATACGTTTTATATGTGGTTATTATGTGTAGATAAGGAGATATTGTTTTGTAAGTAATCACTATGTTCAATAAAACGACTTTCGTCTGATCGTTTGTAGTTATTTTCTTGTAATGTTCTTACATTTTTATTTGTAATGACATTATTTTGAACATTAGGAGATAAAGTATTCTACAGCTCAAGCTGTGGTGTGGGGATTCAGATAAAAGAAAATAGGTTATAAACACAGCTAGGTCAACGTAAATTAAAATAAAAACCTCTGCGCCTCTCGATAGATAGTTGTAGTTTCACGGAAAACTCAGACTGTCACACCACCGCCTCGTTGTAACTCATATACCATGTGTACCTTGAAAAAAAAAAAAGCAGCCGTTTGCTTAAACTTGTGTATTAAGATTGGATGGAATCAATAGCAATAGACTACCAGGAACCAACTATTTCTACAACTGTAATCGCCACTTAAAACGCATGTATGTCATCGATTAGTCACGTGGTCTACAAATGAATTTCCATACCTACATTTATTCCGTTTCTAAACTAATAATAATTATCATCGATACTGAACTTGGCTAGGAAGGCAGATATCACAAAATTTAATAAGCTTTTGAACGTTTCTTAGTTTTTTTCAAAGCGATGTAACTAATTGCTTTCAATTGTTTTCAAGAAGCATTCCGATCAAAATCTCCAGGAATTTTAGCATGCATTGATGAACCAACAAAAAAAAAAAAAACAAAACAATATAATCATGTGTTTTTTCGATTTTAAATGAGTTAATTATCGAATACCATCCAACATACCCTATAATTAAGACCTTAAATTGAATAATTAGTTTCAATACAAAATTGTAATAAATACCACTGTGTGAGAGAATGATGAAGGACATTATTACAATGCTATGATACATATGTATGTATAATATGGTAGGAATAAATCGTTTGTTAGATGCATAGTGTGTGTGAATAGGAACAATGGGATATCAAGACGTTCGTGATAACAATGGCGTAGTTCTGTCCCCATAGATTTTTAGCGCACCATAAAAGTAGTATGGATATTTTTATCTCTTCAAAAAGTACTTTGTACAATGTCATTGAGAATGTTTTGATCTTATAAAGTAACTTTGTTGCCGAACTCGCACAGTAGCCGTTCGGATATCCGTGTGTTGGAAAAACGAGGAATAATTAGATTATTTGTAATATTTTACTGTGTAGGTTTATAACCTGGGAGAAATAAAAATCGATGGATCTTAGAAAAAAAAAATAGTTATGTACCATTTTTTGTCTATATATTATTGTAGGTACTTTCGATGTAGATCTCGTTGAGTTAGCACTTAATATTATCCAAAGCCTTTTATTTTAATTTGAGTTGCTTTTGTATAAAGATATTAAATAGAAAATGAATTTTCTTAATAATAAAAATGGATGCATCCATAAACCTTTCGCACGAGTAGGTACTCAATTATTCCACGATTTGTACGTAATTACTTCATTAACCCTTTGTTGTTCGCCACTTGAGAACACGAAACAAACGGACATTATGCTAATCCGCCATTTTGTTATCTGGAGGATAATCAAACGTTCAATGGCTCATCTATTAGCAGCGACGTTTTGTTAAACAATTTGTTTTTAATTTAAAGCTTTTTGGTGTTTTGGGGTGTTAATTTGTGAGTTCAATGAATGCTAAAACGATTAATTTTATTATATCTTTGCATTTTTATTAATTATAATGCTAATCTACACTACCTACCTACAGATGAACAAAATCTGTATATATCCAAAATATAATTGTTCCTTATGATGACACTAGTCTTTAAATTATCATAGCATAATGATAAGCATTTTAGCCAAGGGTTTTTCTTAAGTACAACATAATTATATGAAAATTGCATCTGGTATACTATTAAGTTGTATAACAACTATCGTGAGATCTACTAAAATCGACAATACAGCTCATTCAACCCAACAACTCAAAGAACGACTTGAAATTATTAGAGCTTTTATCTAATAGTTCACGTGAGTAAGTCCTATTTTTCATACCTACCTAGCGTATTTTTAAGATTGGTAACACGTTAAACTAACATGTGATGAAGTTTAGTACAATTTATTTTTATGTTACGAAAATCTACATCTATTTAACGCAAGACCATCTCATACGCATTTCGCCACAGAAAAAGAGCGTGAAAGTCGTGTAGGCTCTTAAACAGGGGTGTCCAAATACCTTTGTAAAGTTGCATTGATAAAGCAGCGAATCAAATGCGAAGGTTCGAATTTGATGAGAGGACTCTCCTATTGTTCAGGGAAGGAAACGTCAACCTTTGGAGAGCCAGAAGTGAACGTCCGATTACCAACAACGACAAAAATTGGTCATAGTCTGGCAGTCTTTGTTTGGGTTGAAGCAATTTGTTACGGCGTACAAGAATTGTATACAATAGTAGGAAAATATTTGCAGTGTGTTAGGAACAATGATGCATTACAATCTTAGCGATTTTAAAAAATGGAAGTTTGTATGTTTAGATTGTTGCTCAATGATGCAAAACCGCTGAATGAATTTGGATAGGATCTAGCATTTCGATCATAAACTAAATTGTACTTAAATTAAAAAATGTAAAACTTTGAACTTTGAACTTACTTTTTGTTTTAGGAACTTAAGGAAGAAAGTCTGTTATGTTGTACGAGACTTGTTAATTGCTTATTTATTTAGTGGGCTGTGCCACCACTCGCGTGCATCTTATGAATGAGAGTCCCATTGGGACTTGAGACTATTAGAGCTTTTCTTAGTAAGGTCACATCAGTTAGTTGTTAGTTTCAATATATTAACAACAAAATTTAGTGAGATCTACTATATGAGAGACTATTAGAGTGTCGTAGTAGAGAGTTTTGGAGAGCCGTGCTTCTGCACGAATGGGTCAGCTCGACCAGAGTCATACCACGGCCTCACAGAAAACCGGGCGGCATGAAATAAGCACAGCGTTGTGTTTTTTGTTTGTTTTATATGTGTGCGGTTATCGGACGCCCAATTCTTCCCCTCCTCCAATCCCTCCCAAACTCCTAAATCTCCAAATCTCTGAACCCCAAAAGGTTGGCAACACACTCATAACTCTTCCGTGATTGCGGGTGTTCATTGGTCTTCATTAGAAAATCCGTTTGCTCGTTTGCCGACCTATCACAAAATGAAGAGACTTGTACTCAGACAACGAAACATTTAAAATCTCGTAATGTTATTACAGGGATTTCAATAAATGTAGGTGATTTAGCTCTGGTATCAGGAGGTGAGGTTACATTACCAAAATTTCAACAGAACCCATAAATATTCCTACTAAGGTAAAACGCGTAATAAAAATAAATTCAAGAGACACAAGTATCAAATGTGTTCACACGAGATCAGTAACTGAGATTTAGTTACTGGATTAATTGTCCATGGTGTGTACAGCATTTAATCGGCTTTGTACGTGTTAACAACCGGTAATGAACATTATGACATAGTCGTTTCCCACAGGTATAATCGTCCTATGGTTAGGTACTACGAAATGACGGCATTGGTCGAACATGAATGGTGGTAAGAATGATTAGCGAGCTCCAAGGCATTGTTATTATTTATCGAGTCAATAAAAAAGATTTCTTCACTTTGTCAATATACTTCGTATAATTTACCAAATAAAAGAACATGTGTCTCAAAAAACTGTTGCGTTTGTTGATTTTAAAAGTCTAAAAGTCGTAGCAAATATGTAGCTATGACATAATTAAATACATTTTTTGATAATCCCTAATATTCGAGAGTCATTACTGAGGCAGCGAACAGCCACATTTTTTACCATTTAATATTTAAATAAATGAAACTGTTATAATATAAACTAATATCAAAAAATAAAGTTAAACATGGGTACCTATTAAAGATCTGTTAGTTAGTACTCATCACCTATCTTCAGGACAACTCACTTACATAACAACTCCATTAAAAGACCTCTCATTATGTAGGTACATCCTAACAAAAGCAAAGTACACTACACTCAATTTTGTACTCACAAGTCAGTGTCATTACAGAGAATTTTGAAATCGAAAAACCCATTAACTTCAGACTTAGGTCCAGTATGTTTTCACATAAATATCGAGAGTCAGTTACTGCGTCCACTACTGAACTATGAGAAACTTCTAAAGAAAGGGTTTGCTATCACAGTTATTAAGTTCAATTTCTGCTGCTGACTGAAACTCTCAGTCGGCTGTGAGCCTCACCTTTTTTTAGCTTGATAAAATCACATTGGAATAAGGTTGGATTTACAATATGAACAACTGACGACTGCCTTGGGTTAGCTGACTCTTACATATTCAAAACCATCCTGTTCATTTCTCTCTGAAGCCAGGCCGCGGTAGATCTTATTCCTTAACACTTGCACTCTTGATCCCGGCTGAGTATCAAAGAGCAATGATGTCTATCTTGGCAAAATTCAATGCAAAGAAAAATCAATCTACTTATGCTCTCACGCAACTATTATAAGTGCCTAAAGTGGCCTGCCAACCCTCACTGAGATATTTGCATCTTGCTCTTATTCTATTTTACTTACGCTTTTAGGTAATAATTACCTCCTAAAGTATAGCAATAAATTTGATAAATAAACTTAATTTTATTTCAACCCGAACCTATCTACTCCCTAATCCACTGTTACGAAATCCATAGGAATACAAATACATTTCACACCACCCAGTCCCAGTTGTTAGCCCATCTTCGTAGTGATTATTATGTAGTATTTCGTTTACTACCATTAGACTAACGATGTTAGCCATATTATAACTTGCAAAGCCTTGCAGGTAACTACTTCCACGTTATTTTGTGTCCTTATTTGGATTAGTACGTGGGTTTTGTCTTGTAAGTACCACTTTGCTTTTGTGGACTGAGTTGTTGGAAGAAGTGTAGTTCGATTTTATTCAGAGGTTCTTAGCTTTAATAACTTCTTCTTGAATGTAATATAATTACAATTAAAAGGTCGTTTTCAATCATAATATGATTGTCTACAAGGGAAATTGACATTATCTCAGTCAATATAATATTATCTGGTATGTTGTCTGGGAGGCTTGTCACTTTAGATACCCTTTAAATAAGTTTGATGTTACAATAATATTTTTTCGTTATTTCACATACATAAATTTGATCCAACGATTAAACTTGTGTGTAGTTCTTTTTTTACTTATTTCGTCACATTACCACCTAACACAAAAATAAGTTAAATGAAACGCGTGTATTTACCCACTTTATAAAAAATCTAGGGTAGGCAAACAACGTGCTACTTTGAGAACACAGGCACAGGCGTAATTTTTGGCAAATTATGCAACTGATATAGTTGGTTGTTTATTTATAAAACAACTCTCAAACAATAATTTTCTTCGAAATATTAATTAATAAACAAATATTTATATTTTGAGCTATGAATTTTCTTTGTGGTTATAAGAATTTTTTATTAAGAAAATTACTTAAGTACTTACCACTTATGCCAGACAGAGAAAAAAAATAATATTTTCTTGTAATTTATATTGTATATACCACAAGATTTAGCACAAACGTCTATGCACAAATAATAAAAATTAAACTTACTAAAAACAATAAACAAACAAAACACTAATTAGTCGTCATCTGGATCAGTGTAGCAATCTAAGCAACATGCGACCTATTGTGGCGTGCGAAAATTTTCTCAATTAGCCGAGACGAAACGTTGAAGGAAACTTCATTTTCGGAAGGCTTTTGGTACTCTGAGGAGCAGCCAAGGCTGGCTCTCAAATAAGGCCAGATATAAATGCTTGTGGACCTACCAGCCAAGTATTCAAGAAGTAGACAGTGCACAAGACGGTTGTATTCATCCAAGTGTGTGTTTTGTTCAGTGTTAAGCAAAATGTGTCGTTGTCTGTGTTTGTTTCTGGCTGTAAGTGTTGGTCTGGCGCTCGCTAAGCCCAGACTCCCGTTGCCCGGTCAGGTTTATCAATTGCCTGGATATAATTATTATGTGAGAATTATTTTTCAATTTATTTTTTAATTAATTAGAATGTAATAAGTGAAAGATCTGCCAAATGCTGCCTTTGCCAATTAATAAGGTGGTCTTAAGACTAAATTTAAATTTTGATTGACTCATAATAAAGGTTATTATTTAAACAAAATTTTATTGACATTTCAGGAAACACCAAAATACGCTTTTAATTACGGTGTAGCTGATCATTCGACTGGTGACGTGAAATCACAACATGAGAGCAGAGATGGTGATGTTGTGAAAGGTAAGATTTTGTTTCATGTACAAATTGATTTGACTAATGAACTCTGTAGCTGGTAGTAAGGCCAGTAAAAGCTGTTACTTAAAATTTAGGGGAAAATACTACTAAGCATTAATATAAACGGCTGTTTTACCACCGTCATACCCAAATTACGTTCCGTACTCATACGTTATCTGGTTCTGGGTGATTCTTCACATCAATTAAAAAAAATTAATAATGTCATTATCCTCAACCGAAAATTAACGAGTCTGCTGATTAAAACACAGATAATTATTTTATTAAATTAAATCTCACCACTGCTTACAAGCAACCGATTAAAAATATTGTATAAAATAAATTACTAAGATGCTTAAAAACCTGGGAGGATAATGACTTGTTAAATAAAAGTTAAGGTTTTTTGAAGAATCACCCTCTTAGAGGCTATTCAGATATTTAGAAAAAGGCCTTTAGTATTCTTGTTTTTTCACAATATATATTTGGTACCACGTGGTACAGATCTTACACTTACAACTAAAGAGTAAATGCAAATTAAAAATTTGACATTTTTTAAGTGATTTTTTAATCGTGGTAATTTACTCATGGTTGTTTTAGTGGTACTTAAAGTTTAGATAAATGGTATTTTTATTGTTTGTAAACATCTTTTTGTATATTGTACAGAAACTATCTCGGTAGTAATCATTGACGGAGAGGCTTGACCGTGAAAGCGTAACAAAAGAATTACTTTCGCATTTATATAGCAAGGAATAGTACAATGTTAAACGTATGATTATGTATAAAAAACTAATAATTCAACAGCAACATGCTTGGGAAATTAAAATGAATTAATTCGTCATTTAAAATTAATACTAGGCACTATACAAGGTTGATAGATATGAACAATAAAACAGCTGCACATTTGTAATTTAAATTTATTTAAAAAATATAATTATATTCATTTGTTTAAATTGATTTTGTTAAGATCTTTTTACAGCTGATTTATAAAATGCAAAATTAATCATTTAAACATAAAATTGCGTATTGATTTTATATTTTTTAAACATCATTTGATCATATAAGAATATTGGTCCTATTTCGAATGAAATTAATTATTATAATTAATGTAAGATGATATAATAGTTGCATTCATTTATTAAAATATTACTTAATAAGAATAATGAATGCATTTTCACATAGTTGAGTACCCTTGAACAAATTCAAATTTTTCCTTCTTCCAAATATGTATGGAATTATAATTTATATAGATAGATACCTATTACATAAACAATAGTGTCATATAATGACCCGGAAGATAAATTAACTTACCGTGACCGTTATCATTGGTTTTAAAAATAGATTTATATTCATAGCACTATTTGATTGTCTCATCTTGGACTGTGTATAAAATAAAATAAGATTCTCCAATTTCATTTTATTTTATCATTTTTTTTCTTATTTTATTTTATTTTATTATACTAAAAAATCTTTTCCTTATTAGTTTAAAATGTGCACTAAGTACTTACTCGATACAACTGCATGCATTTTTCAAAGAACGAATTCCATCAAGTCCCGTTTCTGCTGTTTGTAAAGTGGAATTATTTAACCAAATTTTGAAGTAAATTAAACTGGTTGATGGCATATAGGGTGTCATCTATCGGTTCGAGAATTATTGTGGTACCCAATGAAATTTGGGTTTTGAATAGTTTTAAATTTAAATATATTCCTTTGTAACATTATTATATGCTGTAAGGTAACAAATTCATTATGTTCTGCCATCATCTTACAGCATACAAACTCCAGCAGATAAACCTCCATGGTGCATTGTTCTCAAATCTATGCCACTAACGGTACATTGGCACATACTCGCATGCGAAGTACATAAAAATGGATGAAAAACAAAATTTTCTCAAGCGATTTCCAAATTCGCATCTTTGTTTAAAGGTCTTTGAACTGTTGGAGATATGAGATTTATGATACTGTGATAGATATAATTAAAGTATATGTAGTTAACACTTTCGTTAATGAGTGATCTTGAATGGAGATAGTTGGTCTAGGTTTTATTGACATGTGAACTCTGATGTCGGGTCTAGATATGAGAGACTATTTTGCGGTGCAATTTAATATATTGAGCGACTTATGTTTTATAATCATTAACAGCTTTTTGTTGTCTTTTTTATAATCAGTTTAAATTGATATTGTTCAGAACGATGCACCAATGACTATAATTTAAATGGATAAACAACTGATAAATATACTAAAGAATATAAAATATACTACATAATATTTGAAAGTTTCCAAAATGTTGGTGCATAAAATAGAAAATAGTGTCACTTACAGTAACAGACTTGGCTTGGTTGGGCCATCTGCTGCTGCGTAACTTAAGCTTCCTCACGGAAGAACATTTATTTATTCAACGTTTATTTTTGTTATAATTAAACTTAATACATAATTTGTACAGGTGGAATTAATGTAGAAGTATAGAGTATGTTAATGCGCAAATCTATTTACACATCTATATTTCACTCAACATTATCATGTAGTAGGTGGTCATGTAGTAGGTGTTAAATTGTATTTTATGTGGTTCTAAACCTATCCGATCGGGAACTTAATATTGTGACGCCATGATTGATGAGATTTGGATTGTATTTTATAGCTCTTATTTTTTTAATTTTCCAGGCCAGTACTCTCTCGTAGAACCAGACGGTTCCATTCGCACGGTAGATTACACAGCGGATCCCGTCCACGGTTTCAACGCGGTAGTGTCAAAGACTGGGCCTAACTTGCATGCTGCGCCCGCGCCACCTCCTCAGCAGAAGATCCAGCCAGTGTACTACGCTAAACCCATACCAGTGCCAGTAGAAGTACCTGAGTACTACCCACAACCGATCTACCCTTCAGCTTCGCCATTCTGTAAGTAAAAAAATATATTTATTTTAACTAATTGTGTAAGTGAATAATTTTCTGGAATTTAATATTCGAACGCATGTAAGTGATAAGAAAATAATGCATCAATTAAATTTTAAAATTTCAATGTTTCGAATATAGTCTAAAATTTTATAATTATATAAGACTGGGAATTTCTTTACTCATTTTGAAGGAATTTTAACGATTATATACCTATTCTAAGAAACAGAAAATTATTATTATATTATAGCAAATTAAATACATATTTCAAAAGGTATTATTAAGACGCGAATGATATTGCTGACCTGATCATTACCGATTATTGCCACGGAATCAAAATTGTATCTCTTGGTAGTCCAAACGCATAAGTAAGGATTAAGGAAATACTCCTTTTTCCTTATAGAACTCAAAAATGTACAAGAACCTTGAAATCAAATCACACTTCGCACGTTTCAATTGTAATTAGCAATACCTTATAAAACATTCAAATGCAATCATTAATGGGATTTCAATGGGTCATTGTCATTGATAGCGATCATAGATCACTTCGATTTTATTCTTCACAGTTGCTAGTGACATAACTATACTTATTAACATATCAAATAAAAAAAAATTCTGTTGTTGTACTAAGTACAGGATACGTGGAAACGCACGCACTACTATTGTGTCTAATTAGTGCCAGTCTCTGATTAGTAATCGCATTGTATGGCATGCTATTGTTTGATAAAAATATAAAAAAGAGGTTTGTTTGTTACCTAGACTTGCAGTCGTAGTTTATAGTTTGTAGTCTTTGATATTGCGTCAAGTTCGGTTTTTGAATGGCAAGCAAAGGTAAAAATGTTGATGGGATTCAGGAATTCAGTTCGTAAGATGACCTTTTTAGGGATCAGAATGGAAAAGAACTTGACGATGGACTTTATTTATTTATTTTATTCTTTATTCAACATAGGGATAACTGCCGGCTGATGTCCCATCACATTTAGATTAAAACTGTTCAACGGGCCTCTACGAGTTGGCTTCGGCTCCTCGTACGCCTTCCAAAGGTCTGGGACCCTGTGGACCCGTGAAAGGAAAGAACAAATAGAACATTACAATGACACATTTAATGCCATAGGCATTGAGAATACATAATAATATACTTTTATTATAATAACAAACTTTATAAAATATTTAAAATAATGTGACTATCTTGAAAACAATCTCATTTCTTGAACTAGGTGTTATTAAGGACATGCTAGGTTGATATTTAAGTGATTAAAGCTACAAAATAATCCTCTAAACTATTATATTTTTGGTTTCAGTATACCCCAAAGTCGGCGATCCCCAATTTGACTACGGCGGCTTCGAGTTTGACGCTCCTTACCAACCACATAACATGATTATTTAGATTAATTATTAAACTATTTATTAACAAAAGATAATTTAGATTTAAGATTAGTGCCACGGATTTATTTTTGAAATTAGAATATTTATGGCCAGTATTTATGAATTGTATTTAAGGATATTCCACCATTTTAGGTTAAAAAATATATTTGTTTAATTGGGCAACACACTGAAATTAGTAAAGGATATTTTGGCATTGAATATTTTAAATAAAACTTAGGGCAAATTTTGCAATGGTTAGATAAAGTTATCTGGGGAATAATTATGATGCTGTCGCGTCAGAATGTTTGTGTAAGACAGTGACAGCAACAATTTTATTTCTCAGATAATATTTATCTGACTAATAAAAAATCTGCCCTTATTCAACCTAGTGATATTACAAAAATAATGATTGTATATTTATTTGCAATAGTGAAAAATTGAGTTATAATATTGTACTCCATTTTTAATTTCTTTCCTATATGTCTATAGATCAGGATTAGGTACTTTAATCAATTCTCAACAATTTCAAGATCAAACTAAACGTACGTACTTATTATTTAACATCTTGTTTTAAAATATAAATATATAATGCACATTCTCGAACTCTGTGAAATCTGATAAGTAACTTGTAAAAGTGTGTAAATAAATATTTCAGCTAATAAGAATAATGTTGTGTTCTTTGTGCTGATTGGCCCCTTTTTTAGAAAATTACAATTATGATGCCAATGATGAAGAACTGAATAAAGTAGGTACAAAAATAATAAAATGTTATGTATGCACGTCCGCCCCGCGTTAACACCCTCAACGTTGAACTTATTTTGCAAAAATCTAAGACAATTTTGTGATACCACGGCCTCATAGAATACCAGCGTGAAACAACCACAGCGTTGTGTTTTGCCGTGTGAGTGAGGTAACTGGGAACCCAATCCCCTCCCCCAACCCTTCCTAATTCTTAAATATCCAATAGGTGCCTACCCTTATCCCTAAAAGGCCGGCAACGCACTCATAAATCTTTTGGTGTTATCTCTACAAGTAATCTCATCTGTTTGCTCGTTTGCCGACCATAAATACCATAAAAACAATTTATAACTCTTTTTTATTTACTATAATTAATAACAAAAACTTTGCTCCTGGAGTGTACGACTGGCCAGCCTTTGGTATTTTTTTCTTAATAAAGCAATACTCGATCTGTCGTGAAACTCAAATGAATTATTCAGGCGCTTTGCAATATGGAAGAATTTAGGAATTTAAGCAAATGAACCTTTATGTATTCACATATAAAATATTTTTAGAAGTAAACCAATCAATTAAAGTTTATGATCAAGAGACATCAACTTGTGACACCTAAACTAAATGAACTGGTAGGATCTTGCATCTTATTATAACCAACTTGTAAATCATAAAATCGAAAACGCAATTTATAATAGCAAGTTACAACGCCTTTGATTTTTTTTATCTCGTAGTGCAGCAAAATGCTATTTGAAACTATTCAGGCGTTTGGCATTTTAAGTGGAAGTGTTTGAGTACACTTGTTGTTCGTTTTTTTTATAATCATGTTGACAGTAAAATAGTAACTATTCAGGAGAATAAAAATGAAAGTTACTTTAAATCTATATTATTCTGAGCTTTTATTTGTTTTTTTTTTGTATTTTTTATATGGCAGCTGGTGAGCAGTTCTTTCTTTCTTTTTTAAAAATCTTTGCCTTACACTAGGATTTTCTCCTGTGTCGTGGGTGCGTTTACAAACATACAAATTCATATACACAATACACCCAGACTCGAAACAACAATTTGTGGATCACATAAATGTTGTTGTTCCGTGTGGGAATCGAACCCGCGACACGTTGCACAGCAGCCAGTTGCCCAGCCACTGCGCTAACCGTGCAAGGTTCTCTTCATAATAAGCACGAGCTACCAGCAAAAAGTTTTGAGGATCGGGCGTGTGATCGGGGATAGGGACTTGGTGATTTGAGGGTATGGGGATGCGGTTGTAGATGGCACAATCCGGGTAGGATTAAATCTCAAGAAATATATTCAACTTTTTGGTTGTTCCACGCCGGTTTTTTGTGAGGTCTAGGAAACACTATTGGTTTATTACTATTATTGTAAATTAGCATTGTGAAAATTGCAGATATTTTTAGGATCGCCGGAATTTAATAAAACACACCTTAATTGACTTCTAAATAAACATAAGAGCATTAAATAATAAAATAAACATTATATAAATGATTATGTACATTATAATTATCCAATAGGAAGAAATAAACCATATTTAATTCAGTGTAATGCTAGGAATTTAGTGTTCAAGAACGAATCGTGACTGTCAGCGAAAGATCCGGTGCGCGATCACTAAGTCATCTTCGGTTTTATAAGTTTACACTGGCGTGCATTATTTTTAATTTAAGGAAGCTTTTTTTTGTGAGGGGAAAATCATCAAATGTCTGTCGGGCGGGAGGGAGTGTCAGACTCTTACTGACTAAAAACCCCCTGTTCCTTCTCCTGCTCTGTGCCGAGGTCGCGGTGCCTCATTGCGCTTACCCCGCAACCCCGGCTGAACATCAGCCCTTTAGGGCCCCGTCTGTGGTGGTCTATTGGCTTTTTGAGGCGCGCGCGGAATGCTACACGCCGTACGCTCGAGGAAGGTGTGTTTATTAAGTACATTATTTTACTTTTTTGAAATATATACATATATTTGTTGCAAACGTAGCGTAGGGCGACCTCCAGCTAGAACTGACGTTAGCTGTAGGATGGCTACAGTGGTTGAATGAGAAGAGCTGAACATCGAGCAGTGAATGGAATCAGGCATATGATGATGATTATTGTTTAAGATTATTCAGATTTCACTGACATACTGTGTAGGAAAACATCGAGAGGAATCGGACTTAATGCTCTTCACTTATCCGTGTGAGAATATACTTTTGTTCAGTAGTGAGCACTTAAGGGTTAGGGCTGATGATGACAACACTGGTGTGGATTACATTTAATTAAAGATTCTGTTGTTATGTATACCTAATATGTAGGTTTATAATATGATAGATTACTAAATATGTCAGTTATACTTTTCCGTTAAGAGGGAGGAGGGAGGGAATACACAAACCGTAGAAGTACCAGAACCGTAGATGAATACTTATATTTTATTCGAAATTATAAAATACAGTAAAAGTTTTACTTGAAAAAGAAAAATTTAAGAGGTTATCTTTAAATTATCGATTTGTTAATCAATTCTGAATTCAAATACTAAATAATAAATTCAAATAAATAATATAAAATTATAGTCGAGTCGATAATCTCTCCAAGAAACACTGCAAGTAAGTGTACACTAAACGGAATCAATGTAATGGCTCACGACTGGTAAGCTCAATGATGCGAGAATAAACTGCGATTACTATCTGTTGAGCTTTGAATCACAATTATTAGATTTACTGGTCTTTATAAGCTTAATGTGTAGTCATTGTAACTCCAATTATTAATAGAAACAGCTATATTTATTACTGATAAAAAAAACAATGTGTATTTTATGATTGCTAAAAACATTTATGCTTTCGCAATAGCGAATGCTCCTACTTCATTGTTTTATTTAACGGAGGAAAATCAACAAATCATTTTTCTCTCCCAGTGAGGGAGAGACCTCTCATCTGGAGACTCCGTTACTTCTCTTACTCCCAGACTGAGACCGCGGTATATTAATGCGCTGATCCCACAAACCTCCATCCAGTAAGATTTTTTTGCAGGAGAGTATCATAAAATTACTTTTCACTCTCCAGTGCCCGTGGATGCATAGAGATGAACATCGATCGCATCGTTTATAAAATATCCGTAATCAACCAATACTTGGATATGTTGTCTAAATTGATATGAAAAATATAGTAGGTAATTAATTTGCTGGTTCTAGCATAAGCTGGAATATAATCCACGAAATGAGTCTTCTTAGAACAGTCAAAGTCACTATTAAGCAAGTTTAAAAGATCATTCAAAAGGTTTTTGATTTATCAATAATAAGATGTTCTCAAATCAAACATCGTTAAGTCAAAGAGTAGGTATAAATAAATTTAATTTGGTATAACAAAAACAGAAAAACAGAAAACCTTCTTTTTTAAGCTCATAGAAAAAAATAAGAAAAGATTGCGCAAGACTATCTCTCTTTGACATTTCACCTCAGCTCATATTCACTAACGTAAAAAGTAAAAGGTCATAGATAATAACATGCATTCCCACTGAGAACATATTGATATATTATGTACTAACCTCCTCCAAATATCTTTAGTGTTAGCCAAATTACATCACAAGATTTCTGGTACATTCGACCACCTAACAATCCGTCACGCACAATTTAATGAAATGTGACTCACATTAAAAAGTATGAGAACACTCAGACCTTTTAACGATTGCTATGACAATCCCCAATTCGAGTGCAATATCAGTAATCGATTAGTCATAACACTTTATCTGTATCGATGTAACTGAATTGTCTGATTGCAATTCGATTGAATTCCATCACTAGACGACTACCGAGTTATAATATTTGATCGTTGCAAAAGATTTTAAATTGTTTGTTGCAAAATTATTGAGATGTTTGCTAACGTGATGTCGATTATTTCGTGGGAAGCTGGAAATTTTATAATAGTCATAAAAGCTAATGATATTGATGAATTTATATCTAGACAGACTGCAATAAAGCAATGTTGATAAATTGTTTTTAAACTTTTATTAAATATTGCTTCGTCTATTTTAGAAAATCAAATAACTGCATTGTCTGATTAACGAGTTCGCCTAAATCGTTGTTCATTTGCAAAAAACAACAAAATGCCATTGTTTCGATATCAAATGAATGGTTTCAGTTCATTATTTCTTTTACTTTCGAAATGTCGGAATGATACTTATCAGTAAACTGATTACTGGTTGTTTGTCCCCTCAAACGTCCATCTTTGTGTCGTAGACGTAAAATTATAAGTTAATCAAACATACGTAACTTTAGTTGCTTCCTCTCTCTTACTTCCCTGTCGGACATTGGTTTAAGGTACTTTGTGTAGTAGATGCTATGACAAATTATTATGTGTCGCATCAGATTGAGTAATGGACGAAATTTGCATTATTCCTTGAAAAATAATTAACATGGCCCTCTGATTAAATCTCTACAAACCATAGAGCAGCTATGTATAGCTTCTGACGTATAAATTTCTAGAGGCCTGTGTCTCGCTTAGGGAATAGAAGACAGACAACACCGAACATTCCAAGTTTTACATTAATTTAAGTTTACAATAGGTCTTTACCTATGAAATTGCCGTTCTGCAGTA